ATCACAATAGTAACAAAATACATTTACCACAGAAGGATATGATGTGGCTGCTGTCTGCGTGCACAAATTTCCTCGTTACTGCCTCCTCCATAATTTGTTTCACCTAAGAGAGAAAGGTACACGGTGAGACAAGACTTAATCTGTCCGACACAGCTACTTAAGGTGACAGGGAGTCAAAACAAGAAGCACAAGAGGAAGCAATCTGGGAATATCGTACAAGAGGTAATGATGACACATTCATGAGGATAACAAAAAGATCTAATTATTTATCTATTGTGTAAACTCATCTGTCTGGCTCACTAGTTGATTTCTTCCTCAAGTCTCAATTTTTCTTTTTTTTTGGTTTTACTTTTCTGGATGTTGTAAAGGAATTTGGTTCTTTACACCTAGGACTGATCCTTAGAGAAAGTTATGATTGCAAGGCACATACCTACATACATTCTTCCTTTATAGGGTAGTCCAGCAATTTAGTATTGCACTTCCATAACTTGCAAGAAACAGATTTAAAATAAAACAATTCAACGCAGCTGAGACCAAAAAATCCATGCTTCCCCTAATACAACTTGGTTATGTCTCAGAGTAAGATCCTCCCTGTTGAATGAATACACACATCTTAATATCATGTTTAAAATTCAGCCTCTCTTCTATACATTTGCAGTCTCCAAGCCAAACCTGAGAAAACCCTGATGACATCCTCCGGAGTGTTTTTCTCAGACTTAACGAAGCTCTTCCACAGACACAGAAGACATTATTTTCAAGGGGCTGAGTACTCCTTATGACTATGAAAATTAGTTGGATGTGGATAATTGGTGGACTGCCCCTTTAAGTTAATTTATAATAGATTGAGTTGCCCTCCATTTCTTTTTATAAAACGCTTGTTGTCACTCCTCTCATCATCATCATCATCATCATCAATTGACCAATTGACATTTTACTTTCTTTAGCAAATGTAGGCTGCTTGTAAACCCTAACATTTTGGAAAAGGTCATGTTCTACGAAGTATTTATGTGTGAAGATAAGCAATGCAACATTTAACTGCAAAAATGACTGAATTTTATGTTAGGTTCTGTGCTGTGTGTCCACAGAATGAGAGAATAGTGTACCACAACAGCCCTGTCATAAACTAAGATGAGAATTTTCTACCATTTTATGTGTTTATTGGAATTCTATTCAAAATTACAGATGAGATGTCTGTAGACCACACAATTGTTTGTGTATCTGTTCTTCATATGAATGAACAACCTGAAAATTCTGCTTTGTACTAAACATCTATTTCAACCTGACACAAAAATTAAAATGCTAAAAATACATTATTTTACTTATATGCTGTGTTTTATCACAGCTAAGCCCCTCCTTGCTGCAGGATGGAGGATGTAGCACTAGAGTCATGGATGTTTGAGAGGCAATGAGTCACAGGTGAGGGGGAGCACGGACACGATAAGCCTGGAAGTACCCGGCTTTCTCAGCAATGAATAAAACATCCTGTTTTCTCTCCCTGGAGAGAGTCACTGAGCAGTTTGGAAGGTTCCTGTGGTGTGCCCTCTTTAATTTCTATGTAGATTAATATTCAAATTGCCCTGAATTCAGGGATAAATCACCCAGCTTGGGTTGGACTTTTTGCATTTAATGGTTGGCTAGTGCACACACTAATGAAACAGAGGCCAAAGTCACACCTTTAAGTTTTGGATAAAAAGATGGTGTGTTATAGGGCTGTCAATTTAATCATGATTTCTTCAGAGAGAGAGAGACAGAGAGAGAGAGAGAGAGAGAGAGAGAGAGAGAGAGACAGACAGACAGAGAGAGAGTGTGTTCCAGGATATTTGAAAACAGGTTATGCATGGGTTAGACACAAATGCATCTGCACACGATTTCTTAAATGTGTAGTTTCGCCCCCCTATAAAAAAAATTATCATCATCATCTGTATCATTGTCGTCATCGTCATCATCATCACCATCATCATCATCATCATCATCTTTACGCCAGTCTAACAGCAGTCAAAAAACATACCAGTCTACCATTACACTGGCAGCCCAATTGCATCTCCTCTTATTCATGTTAAAAATGTATGAATTGTAAATTTTATGATAAACAGGCCTGTGGCGTAGTCGTGGCACAAACCCGAAACACACACACACACACATACACACACAAACACACACACACACACACACACACACACACACACTGTCTACGCTTACAGAGCCGGTAAACATTAACTGTGATGAGCGAGAAACGAAATAAAATGCAACGAACCTCTTTCTTTACATTGCGCAGCAGTTTCTGACGCGTCTCGGCCTCTGTCACGGGAGAAAACATGATGAATATGCTGATCAGATTTGCAGTATCGGAAATAAATGATGATAGGCTCACGACAGGAAAATAATAATGTACCTCCCATCGCTCCGGGTGCAGGGTGCAGCCACTGACACGCACGGCTTTTTTGGAGATGGGTCTTGAAAGCAACGTAGACAAACAGTGGTTAAAAAAGGCAGAGAGGATCCGAGATGCACGATGTGTTCTTAGCGACTAAATTAAACCTATCTGTTACCTCTCAGCCAACCAACACCCCTTTAAAGTCACAGTAGCCTATACGTTAAGCCATACAACGCCTACACATACCCCCCCACACTCCCTATACAATATACATACTTATACAATATATATATATATATATATATATATATATATATATATATATATATATATATATATATATATATATATAAAACATTTAATGAAATAAAAACAAATTTGTTTTGGGTGTTTTTCTTAGATTCTGAGTCACTTTATCCATAAAATCTTCAAAGCCTCATTTTTCCCCACGCATGACAATTAAAGTTAATGAGCCCCAGGTCAAATCAATCAAGACCTCATTGAGTTAAGTATCACAATTACAGAAAGTGAATAACAGAAACACTTTAATATAATGCATTCACCACCCCACCATTAACATTACGTTTTATTGTTAAACTATACTCATCCTATTGCATATATTATTTTATTTATAAGTTGTATAGTGTAGTGATATGTAAACCATTCAGCTTTGGCAACACTGTACTTCATTATGGTCATCCCAATGATCACATTGGAATTTTAATGTCGCTGAGACACATAATTGTTGGGTTTCATAGAGACAGAAGAGGTGTTGTTCAAGTATTTGTGGCCCTAGCTTGTTGCACTGAATTACATTAAAGGGTGTTCCTCTTATTTTGTCCACCCTCTTCACTGGATGGATACATTTCTATATTATGGTATATAGAGTTTATAGCACAGTATCAATACTTACTGTATATTGTGATATAATGTTTATTGTTTCTAAATCAATTGTGAGATTGTTGATGGGTATAATAACCATAATAAAAAACATATTAAGATCCAGTGTTGTCACTGAATTGTCAGTCCTGCTCATTTATTTGCAATGCTGACCACAATGGGCAAATATACTCAGAGATATTAACGGGATAGTTACAGTAACATGGTATTAATAGCATGGAACAATTACTGCAGTAGATACATTTATATCATCTGACAGTAGGCCATATATTGGCATATCCCCCTCTTGCCTACTCTGGTCTTTCTCATGGGTTGATCACATTAGGTTACAGTATTAAAAAACTCAAACCTCAACTGACATTCTACAAAAACAAGGGTAAAAACATTACAAATGAAAATGGAGAAGAAACAAAAGATATATCAGCACAATCCAAATCTCGCATAGCACCAATGCCAAATAATTGTTTTCATTAAGACCCTTTTTCTAGGGTCACACTGGGTCATCAGTAGGTCAAATAAATAACTGAGTAAGAGGCAATGAGTCTTCATGACACTGATACTGGCCACAACCTGAAAATAAAAGAGAAGAGAGACTGCAGACAGGCAAGCTCATTTCCTCATAAAAAAACAACATGAATGAACACACTGACCACAGAACACACAATCTAAATCCTCCATCAGCAGGGGAATGATAAGTAAACAGTTTTCATATTGGTGCTGGGCTGGATACACTTTGCCTCTTTAACCGCCGACTGGTCCAATGAAGGTTTCTTTATGACTCATTGGTGATGGCGCGGCAGTAGGCAGCGATCTTTGCTAAAGATGGTGCAAGTCCATGAAATGTGTCGAATCACACTGAAGTAACATTTGACGTGAAATAGGAAGCAGTGAGAGCTAGGATAGGATGTATTTTGTACATGCAGAGGTGTATGCTTAAGTGAACCAGAGAAGAGGAGGACAAGAATATTTTAAATAAGTAATATTGAATACAAAGCCTAGAAATTAAGTTGATACATAGGCATGAATTAAATGCATTTTTGTTGAAAATTAAATGTGTGGAACTGGCACATGCCTTGACAGTGTCGGTGGGTGGAGAGCAATGGTTAAAGAAGTATTAAAATCAGAAAAAGAGCCATATTAATCACTTAATGCAGTTAAATATTAAAGGATAAGTACTATAATGAAGCAGAAAGAGTGTTCAATTGATATCATTTTAACTGATGCTATAAATCAGCATTTTAATGTTGTAGATGGTCAATGGGGCACTAATTTTAACAAAGTTATTGAACATATTTATATATAAATATAATATATATTTAATAATGTCTCATATTTTATAAGCTGAGGCTGTAAAACATCAGTCTGCAAAGTAACTACATTAGCTGACAGATAACTGTATTGGAGTAAAAAGTGCAATCATTTGAAATGTGCAGTAGTTTAAAGTTGCATATTCAAGTGAAGTACCTCAGAAATGCACTCGAGATATGCTTGTAAAAGTTTTCTGAATTCTTTTTTATCAATACCCAACAACAGATTGTCACATTTTAGAGCTAAAATCTTATTACCACATAGAGTACACACTGTCCCTTATTAGCGGTCAATAATCTAGTCGCAAAGGATAGACATCCAGGGGAACAAGGAAGGAAGCGGACAAGGAGGCACCCGAGGAGACACCGGAGGAGACACCGGAGGAGGCAGTGTGAGTGTTGGAATGGGACACTGCTTTGTTCAACAGTAGGGGAGGGCAGACGAGCACAGTGGCTTTGCCTGCGAGACTCGCTACAGACAATCTGCTGGGGCGGAATATCCCGTCTTATCTGTGTCTAGCTGTGTTGTAACGTACCTTTCAAAATATCTGTCTTTCCTGGACTCTTGAGGATTTACGTCGAGGGATGTCAAAGCGAGTACGAAGCAGAGAGGTCTGCGCTGATTGCAGTGCCCCGGGTAATGATGCCAAACAAGCTAGCTTTAGCTGCCTAGCTAACCAGCTAGCCCTTCCTAACGTTACAACTCACGTACAGTTAGCTAACCTAGTTAACGTTACCAAACGATGGTAACTAATCTGAAATGAGCTAAATGGCTAATTGTAACTGCTGTGAATTTTCTCAAGGTGGAAAACATTTGTTAAAATATGTCGTGTCTGTGTAATCACATTAACTGTGTCTGATTCTTAAACTCTTCGCTTGAATTGTCTTCAATGATGGTTTTATAGTTTTAACTAGTCAAACAATAACGTTGTGTTAGCTTCATCGGATGATTTAGCTTAACGAGCTAGCTCACTAAGACTAAAATGACTGACAACAAGTAGCTAATATTGTCGCCCGGTTTGAATTTGGGATTTTTGGATGTGTCGAAGACATTAGGAAGCAAGCAACCAGGAGGTGTTAGCCAATGTCCTCGCCTGGCTCACCATAAACGCCTCGGGTTAAGGTTGTGTGTAAGATAATACTCTTCTAATGAGGTGAGCCTGTTGGGTTGACTAACACTCGCATCTTCCTCTAGAGCCACGTTGGGCCTCTGTGAACAGGGGTGTGTTGATCTGCGATGAGTGCTGCAGCATCCATCGAGGTCTGGGGCGACACAGCTCTCAAGTCCGACATCTGACTCATTCTCCGTGGCCATCCTCCCAGTTACAGGTGATGAGACAGGGACACAACCCCTGCACCAAACATCCAGATGCAAATGAGTGTTTATTTGAATCTGGATACTGTGGTTGCACAATCAGACACATCACCAAATCACCAGAGGACAAGCTTTTATATATTTATAATGTCAGTGGTTTTAGGTAAACTGTTATGTGGGTCATTTTTTTTAGATGGTCCAGACACTGTATGGCAATGGAGCCAATTCCATATGGGAGCATAGTCTTCTGGACCCTTCCTCTTCAGTGAGTGGGAAGCGCAAAGCCAACCCCCAGGACAGAGTTCAGTAAGTGCTTCTAAAGGTTTTCATGTGTCAGCGCTGATTTTGGTATGCTTGTTTGCACTTTGATATAAAGCTCTATTGGCTAAATTGATTTTTATAGTTAAGGTCAGTGAACATGCATAATCGGCACTCTGCGCCACAACGATGACTCATGGCCAGTCCGTCTCAAGTAACTTTTAAGAAAGTGACTTGATGCAGATGGGGAAAATACGCAACAAAATGAATGTTGAGTTAAATGCAAGTGGCAGTATTCTAATCACGGTAGCTATATGGTCTTGATTTTACAGTTTTGTTGATAAACTGATTATTCAAGAAAGTTAATTTTAAAGGGTTTAGGCAGCTTCTCCTTTACTGTGAATGTTTTTTTCATGGAGCGGTTGGTACTGTAACTCATAACAAAAAACAAAATGAAAGATGTGATGAAGTCACCCACATTCACTGCCAGGTATAAACAGTGTGTCGGTCTGGTGTCTGGCTGGTGGAGTAAAGATAAACAGTCAGCCACATATAAACACAGCCATGCTGAGTCGGACCCTCACGCTCAGAGCCAACGCATTCAATCACCAGACAGAAACAGAGAGTATGCATTGCACCAAACAGAAGGCAACTATCCTCGATTCTAAACGAAAAGTTATGAGATGAATGCCATCTTATTAGGTGTTTCAACCGTAGAGAGCTTTTTGAAGAACTCAGGAACTAAACCTGTGTTTCAAATCAGAGGAACTAAATTTAGTTCCTGAAGAATAGTTCCAGGTGTATAAAAAGGCCCCTTCTTGGGGGATTGTGCTTTCTCATTGTTCAGGAACTATCAGGGCTGAACAGCACTGAATGGTCACACATAAACCCTGCAGCTGCGTCAACTTCCTTCATTCACAAAACAAGGAAGTATTCTAGCATTGACATTAGGACATGGGGTGGAGTTTTCTTGTTTATTAATGTTAAAAACAAAGTTGGGCTTTGTTGTTGGCTTCCCTGCTAATCTGGTATACTGTACTGTAGTTTCTGTACAGAGATCAACAGAGATAAAGGTGCTCACAAGACAGTGAGGAAGGATAGATGTACTTTGGATTGGATTTGTGTGGATGTGAATGTCTTTCCCAGAATTTGTAACCCTAATTGCAAAAGGGGGTGGGGTTCAGATATGGACATATGTGAGTTTATTTTTCTTGGTTTTAATTGACAGCAAGATACCAAGGATCCTGTGATGTGGTATATTGGATCACTCAATTGCTTTGCCACAAATCAAATACGGTACACTCAAAAATATGTTTTGTCTGATTTTAATATTAGGCATCAGGACGTCCCCAGTTGATATATGTTTTGAACGTTGTTTGTTTTAAACAGTTGATTATATGACACGGTTTTGTCTTGAAAATAGCAATGGTGGTCCAGTTTTTCAGTGTCCCTGGTTTTAGATGTGAGCATCTTTTGTTGTTTTGTTGCAGTCCCAACAAGACAGAGTTCATCAAGGCCAAATATCAGATGTTGGCCTATGTCCATCGGATGCCTTGTCGGGAGGATGACAGTGTAACCGCAAAAGACCTCAGCAAGGTGAGGAATTATTTGGTCTTTCTTTTTTTATGTTAACTTCTCCACCTTTTTTTATCTGCCAACATTTTTTAGATGTAAGAATACCCAAAAATTGTTGTGAAACCAATGGTGTTGGTTTGTCTACATGTTGCACTCACTTGCTTTACCACAGCACATTGTGTGCTTTTTGGCTTTTAACTTTGATATGTGACCACTTCCTATTAATTTCAGAAGTGGTTTGGCCTATTCATATATTGATGCAGTTTTGATGAACTGCACTCACATTTTCTTGTACTTGTCACGCTAGGACTATGACTATCAAGTAGTATAGGCTGTCTGAGCTCAACTATTAGTCTTTACAAATTACAATTTTTATTTCTTTTTGTCTAAACTCATTGTCTTATCTGTGCACCTTTTTGAAATGATGCCCCTCATGTATTCCTTACCTGCAGTAATCTAAATCTACAGCCCTATAATGCATCATGTCTCTCAGTTCTGGGCAGGTGTATCTCATGAAGCCAGCACTCTGTGTATGCAGCACTTAACAGTCAAATTAAAACAAACTTACTCGTCAATCTCCTTTCAGCAACTCCACTCCAGTGTTCGGACTGGAAACCTGGAGACCTGCCTAAGACTCTTATCTTTGGGAGCACAGGCCAACTTCTTCCATCCAGTAAGTGAAGTGGGATAAGCAAAAACATTTTGTATAAGCTGTCATAATATTAATGCTTCATCGTTGTGTTTTTTCTTTTGGGGGGACAACAGGAGAAAGGAAATACCCCACTACACATAGCTGCAAAAGCAGGACAAATGTTACAAGCAGAACTGTTGGCAGTTTATGGAGCTGATCCCGGGGCTCTGGACTCCAGTGGAAAGACCCCCATTGATTATGCAAGGTAAAACAGGGCCTATGTTTTTAATATAACACTGGCTATTTCTTCTACTAAAGTATGTTTTTTTTTTTTTTTTTTTTTTTTTTTTTTAAGTTATGAGTAGGGGTGTGTCTGTACCAACACTATTTAATTTTAGTAACACATTATTATTATTTTAGAGATGCCACAGTATGGTTGTGCTTCACATTAATAACCTTTAGTGTGTCTGCAAGCAGCACTTTAAGAGACACACCCACACAGCTATACTACAGGAAATGATACACATCCTTTAGAAAATTTAGCATGTACACAGAAACAAACTAGTGCATGTATAAAATGTGTACTATTTATACGTTGAGGTGTTGATGATGAAATGTTGCACTTCATTAACGCGTAGAACAGGCCTCATTACAAACTGGAAAAAAACAGTCTTCAGCTGAAATGGCTAAAATATTTTGCATGCCCCACACTACAATGGGCATTATACACAGACCCACTGACATTATGTCAGTCTGACTAATTCAATAAGAGTATGACTAAGTGAGGCAAGAGAGGAAGGAAAAAGTCTGTAGCACAGTGTACTAGCTGACTCAGCTTGACTAGTTTAGCAAAAGTTGGAACAAAAACCTCAATTCAATGGCATCCTACCCGAAGCATTTAGCCTTAGAAAAGTCCCCTATTTCTGAAACATGACCTTTTATTCCTAATCCATGCAGACAAGCTGGGCACCAGGAGCTGGCAGAGAGGCTAGTGGAGATACAGTATGAACTCACTGACCGGTTAACATTTTACCTTTGTGGTAGACGACCGGGTAAGTAGACACATCAAGCGTAGATGCTGCATGACATTTTAGGGCTGATGTTTTTTTTATGGTAGTTGCTCAGTCTCATGTCCTTGTTGTGTTGTAGATCACAGAAACGGACAACACTTCATCATCCCCCAAATGGCAGACAGGTACTGGGTGTTTTAAGTCATAGTAGGGATGTTGTTTTATATCTATTAGTTAAGATCTTGTCATGCACCGATGTTGTTGATATGTTTTACTTTTGCTCTGTATGAAGGCAGTTTGATAGACATTCACAAATTAATAATAATCTTATTTTTCCTATGCTGCATTCTTTTGATGGATAAGAAATAAGTAAGTATGTGTGTTAGTTTTGCCATTGTGTGTCTCTCTGTGTGGAATTTTGTTAGCAGAAACATAATCAATTTGAATTCTTTCGTCTAAAGCAGCCTAGATTTGTCCGAATTTGCTAAAGCAGCAAAGAAGAAGCTCCAGTCGGTGAGATATTTTTGTATATGGTTTGAGCTCCAGAATGTATTCTTATTCAGTTGCTATTCCGCTGAACCACAAATTCTGCTTTATTTTGTTCCAGCTAAGTAACCATCAGTTTGAAGAACTGGCGATGGACGTTTATGATGAAGTTGACAGAAGGGAAACAGATGCAGGTAAAATTTCCAAAACTGTAAAAAATAAACTGTATATATAATGCTGTTTATGCCTGCTTTTTTCATTTCTATCTTGCATGCTGTATATGTGTTGCATTGTGTTTTTCAGTGTGGTTAGCCACTCAGAACCACAGCACACTTGTAACAGACACCACAGTTGTGCCTTTTCTGCCTGTCAATCCAGAGTACTCATCTACCAGAAACCAGGCAAGTGATTGCATCAGTGTCGCTTTCTGTTTAAACGTCAATTTGTCACACGAATACTGTATTTGACAGCGCTGCCGTATTTGAGTGTTTTGATACATTTGTTTTCTCAGGGTCGTCAAAAATTGGCACGGTTTAGTGCTCACGAGTTTGCCACCCTGGTCATCGATATTTTAACTGATGCTAAACGGCGGCAGTGGGGTAATTCCTGCGAAAGTCCCAAAGGTACAATATGTCTTTCAATTCTTAATTTCAACAGACTTTGAATTTTCTTGCTAATGCACTTTTGTATTGCAGTAAATGTGTTTCTTAGTATATACAAAAAAGATAGAGAAAAAACAGAGAAGTGAAAAAAGCCTAAATTGGTTGTTGCAAATAAGATTAAGAGTCAGTCGTGAGCTCTGCATATAAATGTGGATCATGTGGGCTCGGCTATACAGGCCACAATTAGAATGTGGACCATATGTGCTGATGTTTGTGCAGCATTGTAGCTAAACACAGATTGTGGATTGGGGCTTAAATAATGAAAACTCCTGCATTCTGTATATTATAGCAAACCACATTATAGCCTTGTGTTCCATGTGCATATTAAAGGAGGATTGTTAGGGCTAATAAAGAAAAAAGAAGTCCTGACTTGGACTGAATGCTAAATAAAATGTGTTCCTTAGCTTTTTTATTTATACAGATGCCTGTACCCAGTAGGGCCTGTTTGATCTCTAATACTTTGATCTGGTGGTCTGCCTTCAGAGAATGTTGAGCTGATCCTTCAGGGAATAGACAGTCGCCATAACAGTGAGAGCCAGGACAATGACCAGCCAGATTACGACAGTGTGGCATCAGATGAAGATCCAGTGCAAGAGGCCACCTGTGGAGACAGCTGCAATGATAGAAGGACCAAGGTTAATGTTTTTTTTGGAACTTGATACAGTCAAGATATTTAAATACATCAGCTTTACTTTTACTAGTAAACTGACTGAATGAATCCTATCCTATGTAATATGTTTTCCTGCAGAGCTCAGAGTCATCTGACCTTTCCGATGGACCAATCACAGTGCAGGAATTTATGGAGGTGAAGAGCGCGCTCACTGCATCAGAAGCCAAAATACAACAGCTCCTTAAAGTCAACTGTCACCTTAGTGAAGAGCTGCGGTCGATGCAGAGCAAGGTTGGTAAATTCACATTTATAAGCAAAATGGGAATTGTACTGCAGATCGTTTACACTTGTGTTCAGACTCATTGTGCCCTCACAGTTTGATTTACATCTCTTAGATTAAATTGTAGTACACATTAATATTTCAGGATCCATAATTATGGGTCACTTTGTACTGGATTAATGGTTTACATCCTCTCTGATACTTGCTGTGTTTGTAGCCTTTCTTTCCTCTTGACTCTAAAACACATTTAGTGTTAAAATTCTAAAATTATATGTGCAAGACTTGATCCTTCTCCTTGTTACCAGAGACATCGAGTAATTTGATTTCACCCACGGACATTAGTAATTTATATTCAGGTCATGCCTGTGTGAATGTGTCAGACATAGCCTCTTCCCCTTTTAAAATTATACTGTGTATGAATTATACAGTGCATGAATTTGTAGTTGCAGGGAAGACCAGATTTTGACATATAAATGGATTGAAATACCATAGAAGGTCATAACTCAATACTTATTATAATTTCAATTGAAATTCTTCACTACTGGTATAAGAGAGAAAATGGCTGCTATGTTTCTGGATGGGGTAAAATTCCTGTGGTAATGATTAACAATCGCCAGACTTCCTCTGCTCTGCTGTTCAGTTAACCAGCAAAACAGGATTGGATGTTACTGTGGTCTAAAACAGAGTGAGGATTCACAGATGTCAAAAGAACCAAGTACTAATCAACAAATGGTAGCCACAGAGGACGTTATGATCCGACATCGTAAATGTGTAGAACCATTAAACAGCCACCAGTTAATGTTGCAGTAATTAGAGTTTGAGTGTGGGTGAATCACCAGTTATCAACTCTACACCCACCATTACAAAAATTAAATTAGATCCCCGATACCTCCAGAAGGCTATAGCAATCTTTGTATTTATAGACACACTTATATCTCTCCAATCTGCCCAATACGTATGAAGTGACTAAGTGTAAACTGAGTCATTGTGGCTCACAGGCAACTACAAGTTCATTCGTCCGTTGTTTGTGCCTGTTCTTGGTTGCCGCTGCCAAATACTTGATAATGATACTGATAATGTTACCAAATGTATCATCTTATAGATAGACCAAATTTGCACGCCTAGAAAATATGTTGTGAAGGTTTGTCACCTACGCACACATTTTGGGAGATGGCAACATTTCATGTGGTTTCCTCACACGCCTCAAGATTCTTCACAGCCCACTTTCTTTCTCTCTTCAGTTGGCTGAGAGATAGTGTTAACACAATCTACTGCCTCCTCCTGCTGGTTTATTTACTCCTAAACCATACTGCTTCTTTTTTCTGACAAAAGTGGCTATTCCAGTCCCTTAACCTCCTCACCCTTCTTGAACCCACCACAACCTCAGTTTGCTGACACAATGGAATCCCAAGACATTTCCCAGCAGATAAGCAAACCACCCTCTAAAGTCATCTTCTTTTAATATTCATGTTAGGTATATTGTCACAGCCAGACACACTAACTAAGTTTTGTTAGTTTTATCTTATATCCCCCAAAAAGTTGACTTTCTGATCATTTACATACTAATATGGACTGTAATTGTGAGACAGAAAGCTGAGCAAGGCGTGTTTCCCATCACTCTTTTCAGTTTCTAAGTGCTGTTCGTGTAAATAAGGGCAACCACTTATGCAGCAGTTTCTCAAGGGGTCGTACTCCAGGAGTTGTTATCGACACAGTGCGTCAGCATTTCATTTGTCAATGAAACAAACCTTTTGTTGTGATAAAAACTCTGATGCAAGACTAAAAACAAAAGGGAGGTGACAATGAACTCAACACAGAGGAACTGCTTTTCTCCTGGAGGCTTAGCTGTATTCTACTCAATTATTGATGTGGGCCCTAGCTTTTGTAAGGAGATCATCCCCCAGCTAGAGTCGAATTAAAAGATGTTTTGTTCTCTTCAGCTGAACTCCCTGCAGACTGAAAACACAACACTGCGATGGCAGACCCCCAGCGGACAACAACACCTCCAGGCCCCTTTCGGTCGACACCCACCGCGTGGAGGTCGAGCCCTGTCCATGTATGAGACAGGCTCTAGTCCGAGGCAGTACCCCCACAGAGCCGAAACAACCCGGCACGAGGATGGAGTCATATTACAACCCTTTCCAACCAATGTAAGCACAGAAGCACCACTGTTCCCACTGGATTGCCCTTACAAGACATAATAATGATGCCTGGCTTGGGGCTGGTGTCGGTTTTTCATTCATTCATTCAATCATTCATTCATTGCATCTCAATATGAGAATGCTCAACTTGGTTTGACCCCTTTCTAGATTGGGAGGGGTCCTTTGGGGACGGCTGCTTCCTCCCTTCCTACCTTCCCCTCTTCCCTGTCCTGGTCGTGGGATGAGAGATCTCGAAGGGTTAAGTACTGAAGTTCCCCTCGGTTCAGAGGCACCCACTGGGGACGGTGAAAACTGTCCCCCTGCTTGACCCCACAGTCTTCTCTCTCCTGACCTGTGTCATTTTAAACTGCTTTTTTTTATCAGTATCGCCTGCCTGCCTGCATGCACCACAGTGCCTCTGCTCCAGTTCAGTTATCTGAACAACTCCCAGCTTTTTATCTACAGAGAACCTTTAACGTGAGCTGCTTTGACTCAAGTCAGCATCAGAAGTGATGGTGATATGTTGTACCAGAGAAAGCTGTTCCAGTGATCAGACAGCCAATACCACAGAGTCCAGTACCTGTGAAAGAGAGATAAAATGGCTCATCACACTGTGCTTATTAGCTGCTGATAAGTGCACCCACAGTTTACATCAAGATTTCTTCACATCTACTAATTGCATCCACTTCAGTACGCAATGACCTGGTTGTATTATTTCCTGTCTTCGTCTCTTCATCTGCTTTTAAACAAAATGTCTGACGTGTGAACTTCGATTTCAGAAATGCATGATTCTGATTTGTTTGTGCCTACAGTTGCTCTGGTAGTAATGGTCAGTATACTGTATTTAATTAATGGTAATGCACTGATGTCTCAATAGGGATGTAGTCTGGAAGGACAGAGTATCATGCTGGAGAATGATTACGACACAACGCCTAACCACTCTGAACAGGAGGAGACTGGGTAAGAACATTTGTACTTTGTACCCACCTTTGCAAAAATTGCATTAATTATCAAAACTTAAATCCAACTAATTTTAGATTGTAAAAACAGTTTACCCTTTCAAAGTTTATATTTTCACCACTGATGTACCAAAAAAAAAAAAAAACTTAATTTATTAGGTAAAACCAGCTAATTTGGTCTTCAAATATTTTTGGTATGCACCCAATCTTTAAAGTGATTTCATTGATATTAAGTTATGAGATCATTCAGTATTTATTAAAATAAGTCAAAGGAAAGAATGAGGTGGAGTAAGACATTTATTAAACTTTTAAGTGAAATGTTTCTGGTTCTAGAGAGGACATTTTGGTAGCAGAGGCTTACAAAGTTTAGGGGTCACATGAAGTTAAGCCAATATTAGTGTAGGAGGAAGCTAGACTACTATTGGTTTGACAGATGTTTAGAAAGAGCTGTTGATTGGAACAGTCTGGCTGTACAGGACTAAGTTAACATACAAGGACTTGCACTTGCCTGCTGTTGCTAAGAAACCTCAACATAGGAGCAATAGCCAGCAGCCTTGCACATGTCATGTAGCTCTGTTTTTGCCATTTAATTACATGTAGTGTAAAAAGTCAAAGTCACTGCTATTGGCTATTTGTTTGGTAGCTATAAATGAATGGATACAGTTCTATACTGAATATAGTACATCAATAGCTACTTTCATGTCAACTACTATTATACAATTTTAGTGCTTTAGTTCTTCATAAACATTTGGTTTACATGGGACCTACAGGCACTAAATTGTGATGCCCAGCCTTAAAAGCTGCTGCATTGTTTTGAATTCAAATTACAAGCCAGACTGCATTTGTTTTACCACAGTGAAGTCACAGTCAGTGTACCCTCAAAATAAACACACGTTTAAACACGTTTAAAAAGGAACCATGTTTGTTATGGCCTGAAATACCATATGCAATTTTCACCTTTTTTTTTTTTTCAATACTCTATATTGTGGTTAAGAAAGTGTATGAACCTGTATCTTTGCATACAGCAGTAAGTCATAATTATGGATTTTGTTCATTTGTAGCAGCCCCCCTCCAGTTTCTGATGCAGTTGAGCCAGGGGAAGAGGGGGAGGAAGATGCCACCCTGCCATGCACAGAGGACGTCATCTGTAAGACCGAGCAGATCACAAAGAACATACAGGAGCTTCTGAGAGCTGCCCAGGAGACCAAACATGAAAGGTAGTTAACAATTCATATTTAATTAATAAGATGTACTATGATTTAAAAGTGTAAATTGATCATTCCTAAAATCAGGTCTTCTCATTATTTGATGCGCTATAAACCACAGCTTGAACTCTGTGGGCCCATATATTTCAACCACAGCTGTGTTTCTGTCATTCTGCCTGTCCTTTTGAAGAGGGTAATTGCTGTTTCATCCTCTCTCTGAGCTGCTTCTAGGTCAGTGGTTTTCAATAGTTATCCTCAGGGCCCAGGACCCTGCTGGCTTTCATTCATTTTAGCCAGCTAACCACTGACTGATGTACACCTGAGCTGCAAGGCGATCGCAGTAATACAGTTAGCCAGCAGCATTCTGGACCAGTAGTGAGAGTTACTAATTTTAAGCCTCATAGACTGGCCTCTGTACTTGTGTCCTAGAAACTCTGTGTCTGCTGGGGGTAGGACTTGGATCATTAAATTCAGCTGACAGGAAACAAACACCACATGACCATATATTCCCCTGTGTCCTGCCAAATCCACAGCGAGTTAGTTTAGTCAATGAGGTTTTCCTGTATGTGCCATATATTAATTTCCTTTTTTGGTTTTTGTTGTTTTTTTGTCAGTTGTACTGTACTGTACTTAATTTTCCTTTTTTACCATCATGTGAGATATTAACCATTTTACCTCCTCCAGTTGAAATGAGGAGTGTATTTATTTATTCACTATAATGAAAGGCTAATTGTGGAAAATCATGCCTTTCTGCTTAATTTTCTGAAGAATATTGTAACTAACTCTGGCTTGGTATGGTTGTTGGCTTGACTGGTGCACAATATGAATGTGAAAATATAGATAGCACTTCTTTCCAAGCTATTACTGGTCACACAGCTTGATTATTGGCTTCCACTGTTAGCATATTGGTGTCTTCGGCCAGAAAAAAAACTGCCTACAGTTTGAGTACAAGTCACGATGTTAATGTATTTATTGTTTTATCTGGTGTCACTGAAAGTAATGCTGTTTATTTTGAAGCCTCAACCACCACGCTGTCTGCTCACTCAGTGTTGTGTTTGCTCATCTTTTGCAGTTTTTGTGACAACCCAATCTGGTTCTTCTGGAAAGTTGTACCACTATTTAGTTACATAATAATGCTTTACTCAGAAAATACTGAAGCTGTGTAAATATTTGAATTTTTATAGGTACTATAATGTTACTTCAGGTTGCTCTTTTTTAGTTTCATGATAAAGAGTGTTTGTGGTAGCTGTTTTATTGATGTTTATATATATTTATGACACAGGATCAGTTGAACGCTCATTCAACATTTTGTCTCCCATCTCCTGCAGCTTCCTGCCCTGTTCAGAAAAGATCTGCGTGGCTGTGAAAGAGATGGCCGCCCTTTTTCCCAAGGTAAGATGACTCCCAACAAACAGCTCGATGTCCCTCCCCCGAGCATTTAAGGGATTTGTTTGTTTGAAAACCGCCAAACGGAATCTACTCTGACTTGTTTATGTCGGGTAGACCCTGTTCATTGCATTACTTAGTTTTATGTTTACCATTCATTAGATTACTTTGTTTTACGTTTACTCACACACACACAGGCTCTGGACCACAATGAGGGTTTATTTATGGACGTTGTCATGTCAGTCCCTTATCGAGTCTCCATCATCCCCCCTCCCCCCTTTCCCCTCACAGAGGCCATCCTCGGAGACTGTGCGAGGGTCTCTGTGTCTGCTCACTTCGAGTGCCAGCCGGCTCCATGGAGAGTGCCAGAAGGCCGCAGAGCACAACCCCTGCCCGTCGGACATTCAGCTGGTCACTCAGCAGGTCATCCAGTGCGCCTATGACATTGCCAAAGCTGCCAAGCAACTTGTCACTGTGACAACCAAAGAAAACAACAACTAACAGAAAACCCAAAGACATTCCTGATTCACCCAAAATACAGTTTATCAACAATGTTGCTAATTTAAACTTAATCAGTATTAACACCATTTTTTTTTTTTGGGTTTCCCATATTAATCAGAGTAAGCATTCACATACATTCCTTGTGGTGGGAAAATCTTTATAAAAAGAAGAAGACAGTGCAAAATTATCGACCAATCAAAACATTTATTTATTTAGTTGTTTTTGTACCGTGGTAATAAGTAACAAACATCTTTAAAGATGTAGAACACAATCTGTTACTATTCTTTACCTCACAAAGAGAGAACAGTTTATTCCAACACAATTTCCAAAAAGTGCAATGTTGTGTGTGTGTGTATATATAAAACAATTAAAACAACAAGCAGTTGAGCCTTCTACATTGCACTTTTCTCCATAGAGGTCATCAGTTGTGGTCCTTGATGTTGAGCGTCAGGCTTGGCTGAGCTGCCAGAGACATCTCGCATCAAGGATCAGAATAGATAGACCTTAATCTACACCAGTGACATCAGTTTTTTTTTTTCCTTTTAGCCGTTTTTAAATGTTTTTGAGATGCAATGACAGTATTTTAGTCTTGAATCATTGTGATGCCACTTGCTTAGAGTTCAAATGTTTGTTTAGTAAGCAAACTGTGATCGAGCACCATGTAAGGCCAGCAAGTACCGAGAGTGTGCGACCTGTCATTCCATCCAGCAGCTCCAGCAGGTGATTTCACTGTTCAGTCCCTCCGCTCTGGTTTGAACATGTGTTTATAAGTAAAGTATCCGTAGTATTTGGAGTTATAATGTTACAGCCATACTTCTGTGTGTGTCTGCGTGTGTGTCTGCGTGTGTGTCTGCGTGTGTGTCTGCGTGTGTGTGTGTGTGTGTGTGTGTGTGTGGGAGAGAGAGTAAGAAAAAGAGATGGCCTCGATGGCCTGTGTGAAATCCATTTTGAATCAATTTTAATAGCATTATGCAAATATATAAGATGTATGTATCCATGTAATTCTTTATCAAAATAACCCAAATGCTATTCTATTTATAAACTGTATGTCATACCTCTAAGAAAATATCGATGTCTATTTTCATAAGCTTTTGTTTAACATGATGCTCCTCACAGACTAACTTTTTGTTCTGAGGTTTGGGACGTCTCAGCTGGCAATAAGTTATAGGCAACCTGTGATCACTGTTTATTTGATGTGGTGCTGTAACTCCAGTGTGTTAGATGCTGCCTGTGGTCAAATACGTACAGCTATGGTTTACAATCACTGATAAAGTAAATGTGCCCTCAAACTTAGAATACCTGTTTGTAGAACTTGGGTCTAATGTGTCACTTGTTGTAAGCCAGATAAGTTTGAACCGGGGGGTGGAAAGAGAAGAATGCCCTGCACACGTTGAGTGCCGCCAATTCAATTCATGACCTGTGTTTGAATGTATTCAATGAAAAGTAGAACGTATCTCTTTTGAAGACGGTTATGAATGACAGTTACTAGGTCAGCATGATAGCAACTGTAACTTTTTCAATATAAATATGCTTTCCCTTGAGCAATCTGTCCAATCCAGTGATTATTTCTAAAGTGGCGGAGGTCTTAGGATGTCATAGATAGGTATTAAAATTTCCTCAAATCTGAAAAAAAAATCAACTGCATCTCACAGCCTTCATATATATATATATATATATATATATATATATATATATATATATATATATATATATTTAACTGAACCAGAACCAGTAATGCAGACTGTCTTGTGATTAACCATACATTCTTTTTTAATTTACATTTTCAACTGATGCAATCTTCTAAATGCAAAACTATAATTTATGTAACTAACAGCCACTGTAGTTTAATGGTAAATGCTAAAATGTAGTGTAACAGTACCTCAAGTAGAGACCAGTCACTATGCTCATGGTACTGCAACAACTGTGTAGAGCTTGCTACTTAGCTACCATAAGCCCGTGGTCACACCAGGCTAAGTAAAGCCCTTGAGTGTATTGAATTAAGCAATGGTGCATTTTATTGCTTATGAGTGCAACTTTTCATTTGTAAGAGAAAAGTTGCATTATGACTCTTTAAATCTTTATATCAGACCAAACATGATTGGGCTGTGAGCATTACATAGGCTACTTAACCTAATTAAGTAACCTACAATAATATAATATAGAATTATTGCAAAACTTAAATGAGAATATAGATTGTATTTGATTTTTTTTAATTTATGGGTTTATTTTTAAAACCGTTTAAAAACGAGCTACAGTAATAAAAGTGCGTGTATTCATTAATCTGTCCAGCCCCGGTTTGAACCCTGACATTGAATTACCTGTAACTTATAGCCTCCCACTGCCTCTGTGGTAGAAAACAATCCCTGCCTTAGGTATAATAAAGTATAATTCATACCTCAACTAGCTCATTGTCCTGTTCATTTGTGTGTGTGTGTGTGTGTGTGTGTGTGTGTGGATATACAGGTTTTTAACACGCCCATGTATAATTTCCACCTGTTGGAGGCAGACAGCGATAGGGGCTGGTGACGCTTCCCCACCCATCTGAAGAGAAAAGAGTTCCGGGTTCTTTCCAGTCGAGAGCTGCTCGCGACTTGCTGCTGCTTTTTTTTGTTTTGTTTTCTGTTTGTTGTTTATATCACGGCGTTCACACGATGTCTCTTTTGCTGGATAACCAATTCAAAGAGCTGCCTCCCGACAAGTCCGTAGACACAAAGTTATTCCTGGAAGCTGTCTCTCATCTCCCTTCATTTTTCGGTGAGTATACCTGTGTGTGTGTATGTCTGTGTGTCTGTGTGTGTGAGAGAGACGCTGTTGGCGCGGTAGTGTCGCTGTCACGGTCCACACTAGGCTGACTTGTTCCTCATTAAATGTTGGTTCAAAAAATGACTTGTCTGATAGCGGGAGCCCGGTTATTTCACCCAGCAGTGAGTAAGAGAGGGGGGGGGGGGGGCTGGTTCACGGTGGTAGAACTGAACCAGCTGCGGCCATATAGCCTATAGAGAAACTCTTTGTTTACTCATTGAACAGAGCACACATTGACCTCATTGTGCCTTAACCGTGCATTCACTGCACTTCTGCCCCCTCTCTGTTTGTAACTAATGGCTGGCTTGTATTCATCCTACCCCCGTTTGAGCCAGGGGTCATACAGTCATTCATATTTTATTGCGTTCCTCTCAAATGTCTGTTTCTCTTTCAGACTGCTTGGGATCAAAAGTATTTTCAATCATCAAATCGGACATCAATGGCAATATAACGGTGAGATACAGATCTGTGTGTGTTTGTGTGCCTCTGCTAGTGCACTGCTTAAGTTTTTATACCGCTGTAAGTTGAAACTCAATGGTGCAGCTCTTACAACTCAACCCAAAATGTGCATTTTCCAGAAAATTAGAGCCGTATATGTTAAGGATCCTGCAAAGTATGTCACCCTGGAGGACATCGTGGTGTCTGAGCGAGAAGCCCACCCAGCAGAATGGCCTAAAGTTGGAGCAACATTAGCTCTGATGTGGCTGAAAAGGTGAGACCTCGATGTTATATGTCACACTGTATGTTGTACTGCTAAACAGAAGCAGACGAGACAGGCTTTTTTTTTTTTTTTTTTTAAATACTGCATGTCTCCTGCAGGGGTCTCCGTTTCATACAGATCCTGCTGCAGAGTTTGGCAGATGGAGAAATGGACGAGAACAACCCCAACCTAATTCGGGTTAATGTCACCAAAGCCTATGAACATGCGCTGAAGAAATACCATGGCTGGATTGTTCAGAAGATTTTCAATGTGCGGAAATTCCCCGTATCTTTTATTCTTAATCATTTATTGTGATATAATAGGAAGGAGTGGACAACATCAATATATAGTAGCTGATTTGAAGCTGTAGTTTGTGTTAAAAATGAAGCATTTCTGTTATTTGGTCTGCCAGGAAACCCCATATTTTATGCTATTGCATTACATTTGACATGTCCCTTTTTTGTCCATTGCAGGCAGCATTAATTGCAGCTCCCTACAGATCAAACTTCCTCAAGGCTCTTTCAAAAGGGGAGGAAGTGAAAGAGGAGGACTGTCTGGAAAATGTGCGTCAGTTCCTGGTTAATTATACAACCACTGTAGATGCCATCTACGAGATGTACGGAAATCTGAACGCAGAGCTGGACTACACTGTTTGATGTCCCAAGGAAGGACACAACTGGACTGGATGCCTTGTCAGACAAGTCCAGTTTTTTAATGGAACTGTTTTTTTCCCCTCTTCAGTGTGGTATTTATTGCTTTGATTATGCCTTACTTAATATTAACACTGTATATTTGGTCTCAAAATACACGCCTTAAATTTAAACAGATTATGTTTTTGTTCTTACAAGTACAGAATTTCAAGTAATTTCCGGATTGTCACAGCAACAGTGCAGCTCTCACTCTTATGCATATTTATGTTTTATTGTGTGGGTTGCTGCTGTATTTTTGACATTAACAGGTGGCTTTCACCTGTTCCATCAAGTGAAGAATACAAGACTAACGTTATTATTACAGCAAGCTATTTTTTTCTTAATGCCTCTCATTCAGATGTTCTCTGCCTCCTGAGCCCTGTTACCCAGTAGTAATTTTAAATTTTAACAACCCATTTCAGTTGTATATTTATAGCTGGAATCCACTTAGTGCCTTGGTGTTACTAAAGAAATGCACTATTTTCAAATTCAGAATTCATATATTTGCAATTGTATTTCACCTACAAAATAAAACGTCTGAGTTCTGAGATCTATACCTTCCTGGTGTTTGTGGTGTGTCTTGTGTTGAATAAGAAGGTGTGGTCAACTTGTTTGTTTTGTTTGTATTGTTCTGTGGCTTATTTTATATATATATAGTCTTAACTGACCTAACTTCCTTTTACACAAACATTATAATGTCAGACAATGTTTTTAAAATTAAGAGACAGCATATGATGTGCACATTTATTAATCTCTTATGAGATAGATATTTTCTGTATGGATATTTATTGATGGGCTGTTTGTTTCTGGATGACTTCAATCATAAACCATGATAAAATGTGTTCTTTAAAATCAGGAAATTTCTTCTATGACTTCAAATAAAAAATGTTTCAACTCAGTTGAATGATTAACAAATAAAAATCAAACCTGCAGTTCATAAAATGTACTCTAGGTGGCAATATTTACTTTGTCACTTAGGATCACTTTTGTGGTGCAGTTAGTGCATGAAATGTTTAAAAATTATGTCTAGGAATGGAATTCATACTCTATATGCAATGTAGACACAGTTCCAGTCTTCACCAATGGTAATTTTTGTTTAGAGCGGGTTTGTTCATTTCTCTGCAAATATTTTTGAGGCTGATTGCTGAAAACATGTTAATGCCTTTGATTACGAAAATACATTTTTTCAAACATCAGCAGTAAATTGGAGGAAAATCCCGTCTTCTTCATGTCTCCTAATCCCCCAGATCTACCAGCCTCTTCCTCTGCCCAGTCTTACTTATCTGAAGTGTGTCCCAGAGGCTGGAGTGGCTCTGGTTCCTCTCCCAGAGGAGCCGAGCCTGAGCTAATCGTCTCTGAGCGAGAGCAAGGGGAGCATGTCTGTAATCCTGTAGGTTTATCAGCAGAGCGGCCTGGCCTGTCCTCACTGATAGATAGGATGGAAAAGCTCCAAGCGAAGCCAGGACACAATGGGCTAAAGACAGGAAATCATTTACAACAATGCCTCAATGACAAAGCCACTGACCTTTAACTCTGAAGTATTTGTTACATGCAATGAGGTAATCAATTGAATATTGCAGTTTTATTCCCAACAGTGCATCTAATGCCATTATTCACACCATCTAGGTTATTTGTTTTGTAATAGACTACTTAAAATGGGTGTGGATTTTATGTGTATGGTGACCTAAACCACATTACTGCTATAGCATCCAATTTAGGAAGACAAATGAAGCAAAATAAGAGATGCAGCAGGCGCACCACCATGGAAGATTAGCAATTCAATAGCTGGGTAACAGCAAGCCCATTTCTACATAATGTGAACAGTAATATTCTTGTTGTCAAGAAAGCATGTCTTTTTCATACATAAATGTAATATAAGAGAAGGGGAAAGCCTGTACATTTCTATTTACATATAAGTGTTTTTGAAGTATTCAATGGCTCCTGCCTCAAGCGTTGGCCATCCATCTAGAATAACATAATTCATAATGATAATAAAATTAGCACTTTCAACTTGCATCATTTACAGAGGAGCCAGTCCAATATATTTCAGCTAAGGATTGACTTACATCATATTATAAACCTCCAGTGAAAAGATAGATCTTAATAAAATGAGATCTATGACTGAAAAAACGAGACTTGCCTGGTGGTTAAGCCTTAAATCCCTTTGCAATAAAAGCAGAAAAATGTCTCATCTTTCCACAACTGCTTTATCATTCATGAATATAATAAAACCGTCTTCTCAGCTACATGTCTGCCAGATGATAACTAATGATGTGTAATAACACAAACTATTTGCTGGGTTTAGAAAATTTCATTTACTTGACAATCCTTATTAAGAAGAGGCAAAAAAGGGTGAGGGATTAGGGTCATACATTGCAAAATGTAGTTATTTCAACAAAATACTTCATGGAGAGCGCTCACGTGTTCATATATAATAATTGCACTTTATAATTATAGAGACAGTTTGCCATATAATTCAACAGGCTGACATAAATAAATAGTATTACAGAACCAGTGCAGACACACAAAGAACTACTCAGTCATACATCACACCATCAGAGATAATATAGCCCTACAAAGAACATATCGTAAATGATTCAGGTGGCACTCCGTCATACCCAGGTGTTGTGTAACAGTGTCACAACAATCCAGAGAAAGAAAAAACAAAATTTCATTCAAGAAGAATGTGCACACAACCCTTTAAAATAAAAATAAAAATAAAAATGCAAACAAAAATACAACCCAAGGGCGCATCTTGCTTGGCCTGAATTGCCACAGTGTTGATTTGGATATGCAACAGTCCTAATACAATGTGCTGAGCACGACAACAATGAATCAATTAAAATGTTAAATTACATAACTTGAATGACTGCAAAACAAAACAAAAAATAGGTTCACATTTGTATGCAAACTATCAAAATATTTCCCCAAACAGTGGCCAGGAAATTTTCATCATATAGCAGAAGCTCAGGTGCTGTTTATGTCACTGAAAAGTAAAAAAAAAAAAAAAAAAAAATCCATAACAAAGCAGCAGACAACCAAAGGTTCAGTTAATAATTAAAGAATTGTTCCCTCTGAAATAAGAAGCCATTTTGTTGTAAAAATATACAATATATGCACAAAAACTGTTACTGGTGATCATTCCCAGATTCAAGTAAATGTTTTAGAAGGGTACCAATACAGTTCCACAAGTTTCCATTTTTATAAAGGCCTACAGAGGAACCACCTGCAAAATATACAGTCCATGATGAAATGTAATGGGAAATTCTGATTAGGTGCTCAGCATCAGTATTAAATGAGGAACAGCAGGCATATTTGATGGCCATTTAAGATATAAAAATAAAACATGAAAAGTCAATAAGATAAACCTGTATCTTAAGTCATGATTATCATTTACCTTCTCAGGCTTATAAACACAAAGCCTTTTACAAATACAGTACATGCACAGACTAAAAAGGCATGTCTCATTTTCATAGATGTCTAAACCGACACACTTCCATCGTCTATAAAATGTTTGTCACTTCTGCGCCCTGTTCTGTTGCAGCGCTGCCTCTTATCTGTAGACGGGGAGCTGGATGTGGGTTTGCTGGTGGTGCTCCAGTAGTTGAGGCATCCCCATGGCTTCGTACCCACGGCCCAGCATGCGCTCTTTGATGCAGGGAGGGTGGATCTCACTGATGAGGCACTCCAGAGACTGCAGGCTGCTGCTAAGTACTGCAGCGTGGCACAGGCTAGAACTAGGCAGACCACAACAGAGGTTTTGGTCTGTGCTGTAGGCCTGGGTATGAGGAGGGAGGGGAGGGTGGAGCTGCGGCTGGAGGCGCTGTGGGTGGTGGTGTTGGTGGCGGTTTGGGTGGAGGTGGGGGTGGGAGAGCCCCAGATCTCTAGGCCCGGCTGCGCATGTACCCGTTGCCAGCACCTGAGAAGTATAACAGTCGCTAGTGGGGGTGGCCACAACGCCGTCCCAGAGAGGAGCGAAGTACTGTCCGACCGAGAACTCCCCCTGCATGGCGGCACAGTTCAGAGAGGAGGTGCTGAGTCGCTCCTGCCCAGCACGCACACTGGCAGGATGCGGTCTATACGACAGCTGTGAGGAGCACCTCAAAGGGAGGCAGGTTTCAAGAGGCTGGCCAGCCTCTGCTGTTCTGTGCCCCTGAGCACCGTTACTCACTCTGTACATCCTCACTGCTCCCTGCTGATAGGACTGCTGCTGCTGCTGCATTAGATGTTTATGCTGCCACACTGTGTAGTCTCCTTTCTCTAGGTACCCAGCTTTGGCTATGTCTGCACTCTGTGTAGGTATCACCGCCCCTGTGAATGCCAGACTGCTTTGGGGCGGCACTCCCAGGACAAAGTCTGAGTCTGAATGTGCCACTGCAGCCACAGCCTGCAGAGAGGGGCTGGCTCGAGCCTCTCCCCCCAGCTGCAGGGCCTGGCTGTGGGGAACTCTGCTCATCTGCCTCATCAGGCTTTGAACCTCTGCCAGCTCAGTCTGGGGGGCCAGGCTCTGATCTCCGGAGGCCATGCCTGCGCTAGAACAAAGTGTCTCAATAGGAACATCAGGGGGCTTACATGAGCTTATATGATAGGCCTTATGCCCATGTCTGACTGTGTAGCCATTATTCAGAGGATTATTATACGGTGCCACAGAAATCTGGGTGTTTGCATGTTTAGTCCTTCTGCCCTCAGAGTTTTTCACCACACCTTTGACCACCACAGAGGCTTTGACGACGGCCAATAAACCCTGGTAGCCTCCTGAGAACGGCTGTGAATAGGGGCTATAGCGTGGGCCTGTGGTGTCTAAACCGTTGACTGTTTTGTTAAGCTGTTTATGTTGTGGCACCCGGACGTCAGATGGAAAGATTTTGATGGACAGCGGGCTGTTGGCGGTCTTCTGGGCAAAAGCGTCCAACTCTGCAGGAGAAGGGTACCGAGAAATCATGGAGGCTGGCTCACCTGAGAAAGGAAGCAGACAGAAAATAGACGATTAGTCTACAAGCAGCCCAGAAAAATCTTGTATTCTGTGATTTCTGCTGTATTTATGTTTTAGGGAATAATGGCAGACATCAATATGTCTTATAAACTCATTTTAAGGCGGGAAACACCTCCAGCACTGTTTGATCAGTGTTTAATGAAATTAATTCAGACTTAGTTCAACCCAAAATTAGTTTACCTTGGGAAATCAAAGGATGGGAAGTGGCAACAGCAGAGGGGAGAGGACCTAATTTTACTGAAATGGCTCCAATGAGATTCATTAGATGACATTTAGCAGCTAAACCACAGCAGGAGCAGCCAAGTGGAAGCTGACTGTAGTAGACTGATTGTAGTAACTGCAAATCTTTCCAAAAGGATATTTTTTGTAGTTCTCTTTAAGAAAATAGATTATTAATTGGAACACACCTCAAGCACAGCTAAATGTTAACAGTCTTCCTCGCTGATACACCACACCTAATTTCTGGTTGTTTCTCAATAACCTTGCAATCATTCGAGCGTCACCAGTTCCTGCCTATGAAATTCTGTCCCACTTTCTGCTTTTCTGATTCTACTGTAAAAGCTTGGAGCCTAAACTGTCAAGAAAAAGTTGATGCAGATGGAAAAAGAGCAATCACCAAGCGCTGCCGATTGAATTGTGTGCGGGAAAAGCTGATGGGACAAACTAAGATTGGATTTAAACACTATTATTCAGGCAATTTCATGGCTGCTTAACTCCTAGCAACAAAAGGAAAGGTGGAAAAGGCGCCCCATTTAAAAACAATAAATCACCTGGTAGAAATTACCGCCACCTTTCAGACTGACACTTTTATGGAATTCTTGACATGAAAAGAAAAGGTGCTGAAATTAACCTAGATCAGGCTTTAAGTCGGTGGAAATCATAGCAGGCAAAAGAACAAAGCTGTAATCTGCAATAAAAAGGACGAAAAATAAAAACAAAACACTTCATTTCATTTTCAATAACAAAACCAATTCCAGCTATGCAGGGGAGAGCTCACTTGTTGTTCCCATTTGAAATTGATTTGGGAGTTCATTTCATTTCAGGCCTACAGTGAGCCTCCCGACTGTGAAAATGATTCAATCTACAAGATCCATCTCATGAAAGAAATAAATTGGGTGTTTAAAATGGAGGAAAGAGGTAAGGTGGAGTGTTCAATCCATCCAGCAATCTCCCAGTGGAGTAGAAGGAACAGCACACCATGGTGCCAGGAGCATGAATGAATTCTACAGAGAAATACAACAAAGCAAAACACTGCTTATTATGTATCACTGTGTAGTGCTGCTATAGAGAACCCTGACATCTGTGATGTTGGAGAGGTGTTTTAAACTGTATACAACATCAAGATGTGAGCTCTCTCTTCTCTGGTTTCCCATGATCCCTCTCACGGTGAAAGTGGTAACAGGAAAAAAAGCACCAGCATTGACATCCTGTACAAAACTTGTCTATTTTCTTCCTTGGATAACATTGCTCAATTACCAAAGATAGATCATTTTTAGACGTTCAGTAAAATGTCAGTATGGAGCTGCACATGCTGCGATTGAGTTGCTGTTCCACAAACACTTCAAACACTTTGAATGCTAACACATCTTCACAGGGTGTCTGATATTGTTAGTCCAGAGATTACAGCCCTGTCAGAGCCATGGAGACACAACACAGCTGCACTTCCCACTGTGGCTGCCTTAATGTGGCACTATGGAAACCTCATTAGCAAATAGGCCTTCCCAGCTCCGCATTCACATATTTATCATCGGAGGACCACTACTGTGTGCTATATGCATAAAAAAAAAAGGAGGCTCATTTTAGCTGATCCTGACAGAAGCCCAGCTGATGGATAATGTGAAGTTAAAACTGAGAGCAGAAACACCATGACCAGCAATAAAACGGCTCTAAATTACAACCAGAGGTAATTGTTTCAATCTTGAGGATTTTAATGCCAATCAGTGGTGTTAAATGTCAGTAAACTGAGCGCAGCACATCATGTTTACCACTCAGTAGTGGCTTTCCTAAAGCGTGTGGTAGTAGTCATAAAAGTATATCTTGAAGTCATTCTTCACGAAATTAGTTAATTTCACTAGGCCTTCCTGCAAAACACACCCAAGTCAAACCAAAAAAGTGTGGTTCATTAATTACAATCTGGCACTATGAAAGCTTAAGTTCCCTCTAAAAGTGCCAAGAAGGTAAGAGCCTACTTTGTAGAGGCTGCTGTCTCTCAACACGCAGACCCATGCATACTAGTCAAAGCGATAACAGCGGTGTGCATTAAGTATTGCTTCTATTGTTCTCTGTAGGTAACCAAAGAGGTAATTTGCACACTCCCAAATCAGGACAAGTCTTTATTAGAAAGCTTTTGCTGTGCATTTTGCCCTTTTAAAAAACAGCTGGTGCATTTTGAAACATGTGCAATCAATCACTCTCAGCTCATTTTGGCCTCTATGCTGAAAACAAGCAAACAAACAAGTAAAAATGTACAAATGTAGCCAGCTCCCCCCACCTCAAACTTCGTACTTAGGCTACAATAATTATATTCAGTCGGCTATTTGGCTCTTTTAAATCTTTTTTCTCTTTTAAATGTATGAGCCAGTAAATTAGTAAATACTTTCACCTCGCAGATAGAAATGTCTGAGCTACAAAATAGCTGTATATGATTCCTTTAATCTGCCTAGGTTGCCTTTAGGAGATTAGATTATTCATGTTGTTCTTAATGTAGGTTTGCATTAATGCAGGCTTATTTTATTTTTTTTGTAGATAGTCAGCACATAGACCAGAAGAAATGGTCTTAATTTGAGACAAAAAGTGAGATGATTAAAGAAGAGGAAAAACAAATTCTGATACATAAAACTATGTTTATTTTCTATATTATGTATTATTCTTATATTATATTCTTAAAGCTTTATTACATTACATTAACAAGTGGTCTGTTTCTCCAGACTGTCAACTACACATTTCTTTATGACATGCTTTCCTGTCTCTCTTTATTGAGAGGCACTGCAGTCAGTCACATAACAAAATTCAGTGGTGTAAAGTAAAGATGAGAAATGAAAACAAATATGAGGCTGTTCACATGACAACGGGGGAAATGGCAGCTGTGTGTTGTCAGGTAAGGAATGGCAGAGAGATAATTAGCGGTCTGACCTTAAGCACTTAATCACCCTGAACCTGCAGACTGCACGCTGTTTCACTCTTCAGCCCTGACAGAGAGCACAGGCGCAGAGGCAGACAGGGGAAGGAAAAAAAAAAAAAAGCACAGAAAATAACAGCCACTTTCACTTTGCAAGCAAGAGGGCATCATGCAGTGCTTACAAATTTTAATTTCTGACCCTTAACATTTTTTCCCCTGCTTGCTTTTAGACAGGGATGATTGAAGTACGTTACGTAGGTTTGAAAAGCTTGTTTGCATTTTTCTTTTTCTCAAAAAAAAAAAAATCTGCATAATGACACTGATGTGTGATGCACCTACAACGCTAGATTGATAGATTTAATGGTCCCGCTAGTCAGGCTTGAATGTTTTCTCGGTTGGAAGGGGCTCCACACATTAAACATGCTGCTCAACTGTTGTGGCACCATGCTGAGTGAAACTGGCACACTTTCACAGGAAACACCTAATCCTGATTTCCTCTTTCCATGCAGGGGACATGCATGGAAAGAAACAGTTGGGGGTGGGGGGGTGGGGGGAGGCAATTATAAACTCTCAATCACCACTAAGCCTAATTTATTATGTGTGTGTTTGTGTGCACATGTGTTTTTGACTTAAAGAAAGATTTTTTTTTAATAAATATTAGCATAAAAATATTTTAGAGGGATAAAACATTGGGTACTTAGCATACTGCGGTATATATATATGGTCTTTCATAACCCTGATTCCACCCCCATACAATCCCACTCAATGCTTTCTGCCACTTTAAACTGGCTAATCTTTTTCCCGTGGTCACACTTGAAGCCACCCCCCCCCCAGATTAGAGCGGAGACCTCATTGTTTTGGAGCAGTTTGAGTTAATCACTAATTTATGGGCAAAACAAGCCCCAGAGGCAGGGCTGAAAACGGCAGTTGGAAAAGCTCATTGCGTTTCCAAAACCACAGCTTCCAACCATTTCATACCCAGAGGGCCAACATAAGGACGTAATTTGAATGACCACTACGCATAATTCCCATGAGACAAACCTACAAATTCACAAATTATCCCTTGTTAATATCCATACATGTTGGTAGAGCTGCCAGGCAAAAATCCCACGGGCCTTTGATGTTATTCTGAAGACATATCGTGAACACTTTTGTGAGATAACATGTTTACTCCAGTCAAAGCCACAGCAGGAACATGGCACTGAGAACATAATAACACAAGTGCTTCTCAGCGGGCATAAGCACTTGTTTACCACCAATAATCCTGATATTTAAAATTCTCTGGCCTACCTTAATAACCAGGGCTGAGCACATTCACAATGCATTTAAAACCTATGTCTCTGTTACCATGACAACCTCATCTATGCACCCAGTTGGCCCAATAAGCCCAGTCATTAGAACCATGTAATTAATTGGCCCTGACTTTATTCATCTCTTTAAGACAAGCTTCTGCAGTTGACTATCTGCTGGTTAGACAGAGAAATAACACCAAGTGGCTACATTCTCCCTCCTAATTTAGGCCACAGATTGGAAATAAAAGTATGTTGTTTATTTATTTACATCATTTATATCATTATATGCTAATTATAGTCAACGGTAATAGATTACTTCTGTCAATTTCCAACTTCCAATCACATTTCAAGCAAACATTTAGTCAATACAGCTGAAGTAATCAATTTTTGGCCACTTGGGGGAACATAAAAAAGGGGATATGGCTACATAAAAATGTAAGGTTAGAAGTGAACTACAACTCCCCAAGTGTATTTCGGTAAGAAACATCCAATCACAGAGATACAATTCTGTTATATGCACAACTCATTGTGGGTAGAAGCTAAGGATTATGTTAATATATATATATATATATATATATATATATATATATATATATATATATATATATATATATATATATATATATATATATATATAAAATTATGAATACACTCTTCAGATTTGGGGTAAATTTTGGATCAATTCACCAACTGCAGCTGCTGTGTTTTGTCGCCACCTGCAACAATGAAGCATTTTGAATTTTGCTGGGTATTGTGGTGCTGTCTGCCATGCCAAAATGATGGACAAAATATGATCTCTCAGAAACAAAAAAGAATGGATGGCCATAACATGAACCTATAGGGCTATTACATTATCTGTGTTTCAATTCAGCATATCATTGAAAGATCATTTTGAAATGGGAATATTGGAAGAAAGCAGAAACCAGCCCCACTTTGCAACGCTGTGGTGAATGTGTGCAAACAAGTATATTTACTTATCCAGCAGACACACAGTAAAATGGAGTTGTGTTTCTGGCCACATGATGAATTAAAGTGCAATATTCACTCTTCTTTTAGCTCTGTTTTGGTCTACCAACTCCCGAAACAAATATCTGGGTTTTTATTGTTAGATCGCTAAATATTTGACAATTTTCACCAGCTAGTAATGTTGGGCTGAAAGAAGCTAAAACGCTCAGAGTTATAATGGAAATTCACCGGCTTTGTCAGTGAATGACCCCTTTCACATGAGAGTCCTTTTACTTTGTAAATAAAGAATATTGATTAATAAGTTCAATAAGTATTATCACAAGTATGATGCAGTATCAGAAGCTTATCTTTTGTCTTAGAAAAGCATTAATATTTATCTCCTAAAAGAAGGTTAATGCCTTAATGTGATTTATTCAACCTAGGGACCCAGAGGACGAGGGGTGAAGTGGAAAAAGTGCAAAAGACACTGGACATGCTGAAACCAGAACGTATGCTCTTAAATCTCACTCACACTAGCCGCTCTATTCACAAGCTTCTTCTGCAAACACACAAAAATATAAATTCATTCACCCCATTTTTACATGCCTCCCTCGTTCCATGTCAGTAATCTCTACACGAAGAGTGCTCACAGAATAGAGTAACCTTAGGGTTGAACACTTAGTTATGTGTGCTTGAAGAGGCTCCGGCGAATACTCCTTTGCACCAGTGTCACTCCTCATTTGTTTCTGTGCCGCTTGGCCCAGCTTGGGCAAAGTTTCCCCACTCAAAGCCGACCCGAGCACAGGCCGGCAGCGTGGGAAAGAGTGTTCCCAGCCCCTGCTTTCAAGCGGCATAGCAGAGAGGAGAACAGCTCTCATTCACTCTCATCACATAATTCCTCACACTCAGAAATCTTTCACATGGGTTTGTGTGCCTGAGAGCTTTCATGCCTTCCATTTTCAGCTAAAAATTAAAATGGCCTTCAAAAGCGCAGTGGCGTCTAAAGACGGCCCCCATTTAACTCAATCCAACAACGACTCATTTAATGAAGAAGCCTGGGCCACACAGGCTAAGCTCCCATCAGCAGTCTATTCCCTGTGGTTGTGCTTAAAATGTCAGGCTAGAGCTGGAGGGTGCTGCACTACGCACAGTCGCAGTACATAAAACTCAAGGGGGAGGAAAAGGCCCTGCAGGTAAACAGGATGAGAAATGCACCCCTGGTTCTGCCTGAGGCAAACTAGGCCCTTCTGTTCCAGCGTTTAGCAGACAAGTGCTCCATTGATTCCCAATTAATATTTAATAGCATAAAAGACAAAGAGGGAGAAATGTGGGAGATGAGGAGATGGAGATTAAGAGGGAGAGACTCGGAGAATTTGTGAGTAGAGTTAGATACACATTGTTCGGCTACAAGCATGTAAAAGGGAAATATAATAATGCAAAACACCATCCACGCTTTCTGTCAATTAACTACACTTTGTCACACTACCACACAGGTGTTTTCACTTAGTTTTTGCTGATTAGGCCTCATCTCAGGATTATGTGGGTTTTTAAACACTGCACTTGACTGACATCTTCCTGTTAGTCTTGCTGCACCTGTTAAATCAAGGGAACTTTTATGTTCCTTTAAAGTATATGGAGTTTAGTGACCTCAGAAAACTCCAAGCACGGTTTCATCCAACTTCAACCTGAGAACAGGTCTAATTATCCAGCATTTAACTGAAAACACCTGAATATGTGTCCAGGTGTTAGGCTAAGTGGTATCTGAAATGTGATTATTGCAGGGTGATTAAATCTGAAAATAATGTTGTGTCTTCTATGCTTTATATATTTCCCAAATATACATTTACTATGCAACAATTTTTTTATGGAAGATTAGACTTTGTATAGTAGTATGTTTCATGATGAATGAACAAAGGTATCCTTTATGAGAGTATATGCACAGGCTCATATGAATGATCTGGCAACACTATCAGACAGATAAGATTATCCTGACTACTGCCCTGCTCTGCAGATAAAAGGTGCATATATGTCATACAGACTATGCTAACATTGATAGTCAAATTATGGTGATTCTGTCTCTGAAAAATCTGAATGGACACAATGTTACTGGTCAATATTTGCATGCTCTTACTTTCTATGAGACCACAGTGTGTCCCATACTGTTTCATTTCATTTATAACGATCCTTTGTTAGTTACTGCAGTGCAGTAGCTATCCCCCCATGCATCCAAATAAAACACACTATGACAGCACAGGGTTAAAACAACAGCAACATTACACACTGCAACACCTCTACCAAAAGGAAAGTAAAACATCTTTAAAGGACCGAATAATTTATGATGTTTTATGGTTATATACACTCATAAGACTGTAATACACATCCAGCTGAACCATTAAACTGGAAGTAGTTATAGATCTTCAATATAGCTTCAAACCAGACCCAGCAAAGAAATATAAGACATCAGCAAATCTTTAAAGCAATCGTGAAAAGGAAACCACAGCAGAATAACTTCATTTGTGGTACTATGATCTCATTATGTGAATCTAGACTGTCCAGGAAGAAAAACACTGTGCAATTGGGACCACTGCACAAATAATATGGACGTAGAGTAACCTACACAAAAGAAAGCAGTATCAGGCCAAGAACAAAAAATCAGCAAACATGTCGCATTTAATCAATTAATTGAAAGAAATCTAATCACAAATGTCAATCCAGGTTAGACCCAAAGTCAGCCTTTCAGTGAATGCAGTATAATCAGTCAAGATGAAGGTCACACAACACTGACATGGAGCACTTTCTGCACAAAATGTGAACATCATTAGTAACCCTGTATGAGAGAGTTGATTAACTCTGTAATTTCAGAGTCCACTTTGACCTGCACGCATTTGCACTGCAGGAGCACACTGATTAGCAGCCAAATTAACAGGCATCATCATCAACATCATCATCATCATCAGGAGGCCCATTATTTTTAATTCAGCTGAAATCTCAGCACACCGCTAAAACCATGCATGCATGCATGTATGTGCGCTTGGAGACGACAAGGTCAATCTGAACATGATTGATTAAAATGTAACTCGGGAACATGACCAACTATCCTACTATTCACCAGTATTTTCTATTTCAAACTATCTGTATAGTACTTGCTGTCTTCTTTGTGTGTCATAAACTCACCTTTGTGGGTGCACGGCTGCAGTGGAGGTACTGACAGCAGTAATGGTGGTGGTGGGACATCAAGGCTTTTGGGTGTGCAGGCTAGACGCTGTGACGAGAGAGTCTGCCGTCTCTGGATACAGGCCAGCATGATAGTTCACTAGGGCTGCACACAGCCTGGGTTAACCTGCTAGAATAAAGAACAAAAAAAAGTTTTACTATAAGGTCAATACTTTTAACACCAAATTAAACATTGATTAAACAAGAAAAACAAAATAAGAGTCTACAGCAACGTTAGCGGCTCTGTGAGGCTGGACTTATTGACATCGGAGCTTTGAGCTAAATGCTAACTTCAGCATGCCAACATGCTGATGTTCAGCAGGTATACATTCACCATTAGCCAATTAGCACATTAGAACAACAGCTGAGGCTCATGGGAATGCCATAGTTTTAGGTCATAAATAATAAATTAAAATGTGGGTATGAATCCATCAAATAGTTGATGAGATATTTCACAAACTGACAAAAATGCCAACTTTGTGGTGGCGCTGTTGAGAAAGTCAGAGGATCAACAAAGTCAGGAAGGTTCCATCCTCTGGGGACCATGAATGTTTGTATCAAATTTCATCACAAACAATCCAGAAGAGATATTTCAGTCCGGACCAAAGTGGTGGAACAACCGTCAGACCGTGATTGCCACATTGATTACCCCACCAGTTCTGTTTGCAATAGGTATGTTTTGGATTTTTAAAGTTCTTGTTATTGCATAGTTAGGCCACATAGTTTCAAGGATCACTGGTAAAAAAGTAGATGCCAACTTTAAGTTTGGATCAAAACATTGAATTATACGTAATACATATGAACTCTTGCATCAAACAGTTTGATGTCGGAAGAAAACTGCAAGCTTGCTGGTAGAGAACACTAAAACCCCATAGGAGGCTCTCCTCTTTCAAAAATAAATTTTCCGTTACTTCAGTAGCTTGCATATCTAAAACTCTGAAACCACTTGTGTCCTTTTACCCTATCAAAATTCAGAAACCCTTTTTTGAACTGCTGAAATTGTGCATACAAAAAAGTGATATCACTTAATGAACGTCTCCTTCTGCTCCTTCCTCCTGGTTGTTATGATGTTTTTTCCTGTTATCAACCTTGCCCTGTCGGTTGCAATCACACAGATCATTTTCAGGGCCTCCTGTAGCCTCAGGCTGCGTGTGTCAATTTGTAACTATCCCTGAGACCTGCGTTTATTTTTCTATACATTTATGGCCGTATTGATCAGCAGAGAAAGCCAAAAGCAACTCACTCCCTAAAATAGGCTGTCTAAAGAAGAAGGCAGCTGTGCTGATTGAAGCAATCATTCTGAAGATAAATCCAGGCACTGAGGGAATCTTTCAGTCGTAATCGCATTTGACATTCTCTTTGATTATCTGAAAGAGTCACCAAATCTGAATGCTAGCACTGCAAAACTAGAAAACCCCGGGGCTACCGTAAAAGACTTACTTACTGTGTGAGTCAGGTATCTTGTAGACAAACACAACTGCAATCTATGCAATAAAAATCAGAGGCTTATAGCTTATTAATAGTTAATCAATGACAAATGGAAAGAATGCACTAGTTCCCAACAAGGCTAATATAAGCCTCCAGCATACAGCTGTCAGATTGCTCCTTTTTCTTTTTAAGGTTTTAAAGGTTCTTTTGGATTTTTGCTTTCATTTCTCCCTCAGGGTCCTGAGGGCAGCTAAAGCGAGTCAAACACAGAACAGAGTGTTCAGTGACGAGCTGCAGAAACATGATTACCTTCGCCTAAGAAAGAAGAAGAGACAGAGTGGCGTTCATTTTACTCAGGTGCCAAAAAAAAAAAAAAAAAAGATTCCCTCACTCTTCCCTTTCTTCTGTACCCGCTCCCCTCCTCCGCTCAACATCTGTCCCTCGGTGACAAGCCCACTTTAAACTGCTCAGTGCAACCTGTCTTGCACACACACACACACACACACACACACACACACACACACACACACACACACACACACACACACACACACACACACACACACACACACACACACACACACACACACACACACACACACACACACACACAAAGAGCTAAAAGCCTCAATATGGTCAGATTCCATTTTGAAAATAATGGCAATTTCTCAACAACCCTTCCATTACCACACATTTGTCAAGAGGGAGGTGCTGAAAACACAGAAGGGAACACAAGGGAGAAAAAAGATATCTCCAGGGAAATCCCGTCACTAGCAGAAAATGAGGCATGAATTGGAATACCTTCCATTACTCCCATAATTTACAGCTGGAATAAAATACATCAAGGAAGGCATTATAATTCAAAGAGAAGCCAGCAGTGGTTTAAAGAAAGAAGTTTCACTGAAAGCAGAAAAGGGGGAGCTAGAAATGATGCATAAAGTGCAAGTAATGATAGTTTCTTTCATCCTGCTATCTAAATTTTAAATTTAAGAGATTTTATGAAAACTTAAGCTTAAAAATTGCCTTCTCACTCTTGAGTGGAATTACCAGAAAAAGGGGAAGAGAGATATGAGTTCAAAGAAATCCCGGCATGCAAGATATTATCTAGGCTTCTAAGTTCTCAAGCAATATCAATTCTCCAGCCCTCCACAGAATGTTTTGCTCGACAAAAAAAGTTTTATGTCTTTCACATTCTTACAATGTTATATCAAACCATCTCAGGATAGATTACTCTCCTATAGTGAAATAATGCAGAAATTAAGTACATGCCAACTGCAAAGTAATTGTCAAGCAACTTAAAAATGGCAGTATGTAGCATAGTTAAACTCTAACATAATGGCCAATGTTACTCCCTTCCAAGCCGGTTTTCATTACATTAGAGGTTATAAATCAGATGTCTCTGCCTATACTCCCCATGTCTTACAAGTTCATGTATTCAAGGACTTTTCTAACATGCATAATAAGAAAAGGGAGCACGTTGCAAGTTAATGCTGCAAGGACGTCTAATCCCAGCCACTCTCAGGTGACACCCATACAGCTGATAAGCAGCATGATGTGGACCACTGAGGGCCCGCCGGGGAGATAAAGACCTTGTGCTCTGCAGTCCATCTGTCCCCCCAGTGGTTTTCTGATAAGGATGTCTAGGCAAATAAATCTATTTTTCAAGCCTCTTCCCTCATCATAGACAGTGCAAGAGAGAGAGAGAGTGCAAAATTCTTCATTTTCTAATGTGTCGTGTCCTGGGGATCCAGGGAACTTTGTGAGAAGATAAGGTCAACTGAAGACCATGAGATACGTGATGGAGAGACTTTATAATGGTTGCTTAAGTTTAACAGGCAGGCGCCTTAAACTGAATTATAATTACATCTGTTCAACAAAAAAAAAGGTATCCTTCAGCTACTGATAGATTGCCATCAAACTAACACCATTCATATGTATGTAGTAAATGGAAGCCTGGCCTAAATTAAGCTCCTGACAATCTAGGCTATGTGGATCACATTTCTTGAGATAATAAAGCTATTATTACCCAGAAAATACACAACTATGTTTAAACAAAAATCAAAATGCGGCTTGCCTTGCTTTTCACCTGTTTGGCTGTAACAAAGCGGCAGCACAAGAATATCCATCAAAGCCAGCAAAAGCCCTAAATTATACAGAGACTCAGACAAGAGCATCTGTCTGACCTTCTGGAGTCTTTTATGACTTCGTGCAGCATCAAGGGTCAGAGCGAAGATGGAGGCAAATTGCAAAGAGAGCCTCCCTCTCAACAAACATGAAACACACAGGAAAAAAAAAAAGATACACACTGGCTCTACACACACACCCTCGCCCTGCCACATTCTCACACACAAACACACACACACACACACACACACACACACACACACACACACACACACACACACACACACACACACACACACACACACACACACACACACACACACACACACACACACACACACACACACACACACACACACAACACACACACCCCCCCCTAGCGGAGCCATCTCAGCTCCTGTTAGCAGTTCTCAGAATCCTCAGTTAATAATTAGATGATAATGAAAAAGGTTTAAGACAAGCGCCCCTTTCACTCTCAGGGGTGGATTAGCATGTGAGTGCTATGCTAATGTTGTTCCTTCCTTCCACTTAGAAACAAGCAAAAGGGAAAGAGCACAAAAGCAATAAGAAAAAGAAAAAAGAAAAGAAAGAAGGTTAATTTAGGAAGAAATAAATGATTAATAAAGAGCAATCGGTCATTACAGAAGAGAAAAAGCAGTGTCTCTCCTTGAATGAGCACGAAAAGACCCATGAATAACAATTCACTTACTGTGTAATTAATTGTATATTACATATCGCTTTTATACTGTCTTCAAGGTAGGCAGTGCAGGAACCTGTCTAAGTAATGGAGACCAGACAAGTAGTCTGACATACAGACAGAATTAGACAGCAGTGCTGCTGCAGCTGCTGGATTCATCCACACACACACACACACACACACACACACACACACACACACACACACACAGACACACAGACACACAGACACACAGACACACAGACACACACCCCTCATACATTTTTAATAGAATCTATTACTTCTGGATTAGCCGATAAGAGCTGGCCTGGTTAAATTCTATAATAGTTTGCATAATTGGTATCAGAGCAGCATATAAGAGGGACCCAGATTTCTCTCTTCTCCTTCTCTGTAGAAAAAGAAAAAGAGGACACAAAGGTTCACATACAGGATAACCAAACAACCCGGAGCTTCTCTGCTCCACGCTGCAAGAACACTCGAGGCTCGAGGCTGATAACAATGAGGCTCATTTCCATTGAGATTAGCTCCTGTAAAAGGTATTACAACAGTGTTAAAAAGCGTTTCCTATACAATTCATGCGCAAGCACAAAATTTATGTAAATACGATGGCCAGGCAATATTCAGACAGATGTCCAGAGCATTCAGTTGGGTGTAAATCATATAGCGTTAATGGCTGAGTGTCTGGGGAAAAAACATTAACGTTTCAATTTTGTTTATGCAAAATTTTGTGTAGCCATCACAAGACAGTTATGTTACAATAAAGCTAGGAGCGCTTAAGAAACGCTAAAAATCACCTCAATTATATAACAAACATCGCCAATTCTCAACTCTCAAACTCACTACTGCAAAGACACCTCACTTCATATAAATAACTATAATTATTTAAGATTGAAATAAACTACATATGAACTATGAAAAGGCTTAAGGGAGTAAGAATAAATGCACATCGCTTTCATTAGGAACATTCTCAAACAATATTGTCAGCGCAATTTAACATCTGACACGGCAGCAACAAATGCTTTGAAATGAATGACAGCCCAACTCTTTGGGCTCAGAGCTTGCACCATTAATTTCAACAGCAGCAGCAGCCACAGCTAATGCAAGCATGAAGTATTTGCCTATGAGGTTTACACTTTTGACAAACAATTAATCATTTACTTTGGAGTTAATATAGGCCATTTGTGTAAGCCAGTCTTTCAAAACAGTATTGGTATGAGGATTGTTGAATATCTGGCTTTTCCTTTTGAGCACATTTTTCTCTGCCCAGCTTCCATTTGTGTAAAATGCTCTATAATACCAAGGGGAAATAGCTGGTGGGGATACATATTGTATAATTTGGCTATGCCACATCATATTTCTGGAATTATAGGAACACAAGAGACTAGAGGTCATACACTGCGTTTGTTTTTTTGGAATAACAGTCTTTCTGACTTTATATGTATACAGATGCTGAGAGCAAATTTAGCCACTAATCCAAAGCTCCACAATTAAGTCTTATCTTGGAGAACAGCCTTGGTAGGGGAGTAGAAAGCCTTGGACTGACCCAAATCTGCCCTTGCTTACAGATGGAGCCAAGGTAAAAGAAACACACTGCATGGGGTTTAAGTCTGGCCAATGCCAAGGTAGCATTAGAGGGTAAACAGAGCCTTATCTTATCCCAGTATGCACACCGAGACACACTGTCAAAGAGCTATGGGTATGCTGTCCAGCCTTTACAAAACCTTGACTTCAAAGATAACAGATGGTGAAAGAGTGAGATGAAGGTTTTGTGGAAAGATAAGTTCTTTGATTTGAATTTAATGTTGACATTTGTTGGTCAACTCAGGTATGGATGGAATCATAAAACCATAAAAGAGGACAAAAGATACAGAAAAAATTACTTTATGTTACAAAAACATTCCCCACCCCAAGCCCTGTCCTCTGGCTGTTTGCTTTACTGTTACACTGTTCAGGGTCACTGATTCCTTCATGTCATTAAAATCTTCAAGCAAACATGAAACTCATTAGAAACTGTAGAGAAAAGGCTGGCTGTATGTCTCTAATGTGGGAGATAACCTAATGATACGCTCTCTACCATGCATCACCGAAACATCAAAATGTTCTGGGAGGAAAAAAAAAAAAAAAGAGGGTCTTTGATCTCTGGACCAACTAAAAAATGTCATCATCTCTCTGCCTTTCTATTTAGGGCAAATGATGATGCATCAATTTCAATTTGGCAGTCTTAATCATTAATTCAAAGTAATGACTGAGACCCATCATGTAGACAAAATAAAGACTGGAGTTCCAAAGAACCAGTCACGTCCCCCCTCCCTGATGACCTCAGAGGCCCAGTCCTTAACCTTCCACCCTTAACCCCCGCCTCACTACCCCCTTCATCCTATTACAATGAAAAGACCAATTAGACAGATTTCAAAAGATAGCAGGCTGCCTGTAATTACACATGACATCTCTTAGCAGATAAAAAGGTGATTACAAAGGGTGCACTGGAGAAATTGCTAAGCAACCAAGCCACTGACATTATTCCTATAAGATAGGCGAAGAGGTTGGGTTCATTTATATTTTCAAAGTCATTTTGCAACATCTTATCATTCAGTCTCCCAACCAAATAACTCACTGTACACTTAACTGGCCTTGCATGTGAAGCTGCAGATGACCTGGCAGAAAAAAGACATGACCTTAATCAGCCCTTGTACTGGCCTGGGTAATAGTCATCCAAGAAAAGGTCATTCTCGTGGTGAGCCGTTTCCTCCATTCAGTAATTCGGTAGGCATGGAGATTGAGCGAGCCTGGGGAAACTTCACAATAAATCAGAGCTCAGCTTCGCTCCTGAGAAAGCAAAGGGAAGCAGGCAGCCAAATGACAAATCCCTTCTCTTCACAGAGTTGGAATTACTGCTGGGGTGTGATGTGAGATCAGAGGGAAACCCCCATGGGATACCTGCACATTGACGGCTCATAACAGGACGCAGTTTACAGGCCTCTCAAACAAGTTCGGGCCCAAGCAAAGCACATTTCCAAAAAGCAAAACCATATTTGAAAATGTCATTGAGACGTTTAACAGTCTATAATTCAAGAACACAGTAGCCTCTAGATTATATGACAAGAAGAACACACACTAAACATCCAGCGGGTAAGTAAAAGTACTCAAACTGCAGATTTTAGAGTGAATGAAGCCAACGAATACACTTTATGATGAAAGGGGCATGAGGCACTAAAATGTTTATTATGACGCTGTGGTAAATCAAAGGCCACAATGCCATGATTTAAATAGGTTTATAGGAAATCATAAGAAAGAAAGATAAGACTTTTCCTGATAGTCACGTGCCTTAAAATGAAAAAAAAAGGGGGGTTGATGTATTTTTCTCTTTTGGTCACAAAATAGCCAGAAAAAAAAAGGAGAGGACAATAAAACACCAAATTGCAGCTTTTTTTTCTCCTCTTCTCTGCCTCTGGTGGGAAGCTGTGACATCCCATCTCTCTGGGTAATAAAGGATCTGGCACAGGCAGGAAAAAGCATGCAGGGTAGAATTTCACACCTGGCCAATAATCTATAGGCCCCCTCTGCTGAGGCTAACCTTCAACCTCGGCTGCCACCGGTGCAGTGAGGTGCGATGATCCCACCTCCGGCTTCTAGACAATAGAAATGGAAACCTTCAGAGGCAGCCCTGAATGACCGATAATATACTTCAAAGCACTTCCCGTATCCACTGAGATGCTGACATATAAAGCGCCTTTCACTGCGCGCACAGCCATCATTCAAACAAAGATGTTATCTGAGGATGACAAAGATGAGACTACAACAGTTTGGAGAGAGAAAAATGATCATTCAGAAACTACAGATGTTTGTTATGCAAATGTTTCTTGGCCTGCAATCCCTAATATGTATAACAGTTTGATTCATTTTAGGAAATAATCTGCCATTAAAGGAATTATACTATACTGAATATAAATTACAAACCTTGGGTGGACTCGGCCCATATAAATACACATTAGCCAATAGCAGGACAGTGATATATGAAGGGCGAGACGCTCCTATCCATTAGTGCGCACTGGGCATCTTTCACCACTTTAGCCCTGTCGACCTAAAATCAATGCAGAGATCCAGACACCATACATTGAAGCATCTCTACAACCCTGAATATTTTTTATCTTACTCTCTTATTGTCATGTAGTTACACAGACACCGTTTAAAAAAATAAATTAATTCAGCTGGTACAACTGAGCAATCAAAACATTTTCTGCACTGTGAAACATTTTCGAACAGCCCACACAGCGTCCCCCTAAACATTATGAAGGGAATAATGAAACATAAAATATCTTACAGAGTTTTCTCTTATCATAAGGCTTGTTTATCTTTGGTTCGCCACGGCTGATTGGTTGTTCTCCTGCTCGGAAGGCGTATTTCCTCTGCAAAAGCAATTTGGCCACAGATTTCGCGATGCGCAGTGGAGACCTCCGGAGATATATCCATGGATGAAGCTGGCTCCATTAACTGCACTTCCTCGACATATTCAACACTCTTGTAGGAGATAATTTCACCGATTACGGTTTCCCGTGCAGCTTGTGTCTCATCCCGGCCGCCGACCGAGCAGTGTGTGCCACGGAGAGTGATGTCGGAATGGAATTGAGTCCCATTGCGCTGTTGAAACCGGCTCTGAGCCAATCAATCACAGCCGTATTTGAATATTCCCACGGCTCGGCCAATCGTGTGAAAGAGAAGGCGGTCCGCTGCCGTGATGCCAAACCCGTCAAAGTAAGCACGTTGCTATTTCGCGGAAAAATTTAAAGGAGAAGAACATCTGATACTTAATCCAAAACAAACGTTTTTTTTGTTTGTTTTTTTTTGTTTTTTTGGGTCTATCTCATTTCCTGTACGTCTGATTGATGAAGAAAGGTACACATCTGTTCTGCGCAGTAGATGGGATAATGTAGCTCAGCCAATCAGCAGGGCTTTAAATTAACTCTTAATTGGATCAGGTGTGCAGGAGCAAAGCCTGAAGCAAAAAAAAGCTGCATTGGGGATAGGGAGGGAGGAAATGTGGAGTGGATAAGGAAGTAATACCACATTGTAAAAGCACACTGATTCACAAGTCCTCCATCCAAATGTGAGTATGAAAAGTAAAAGTATGTCTTTACAGAATGCCACAAATGTGTATATTATCATAAATATTACATATTTGATTCTCACTTTATTATATAGGCATGATTTGAAGGTAGCCTACTACTTTTTTTTTGTCTTTCAGCATATTTTACATTCATCAAATATTTAGCATGTTAAATGTGAATAACTCTCTAAGCCAGGCTGAGTTCTGTAATAAATCTATTGGAAAAGTATATATAAAAGTTAAAAAAAACTCAAATAAAATACCTCAAAATTGTACTTAAATACTTGAATAAGTGTGCTTTATTACTTTCCACCACTGGCAGGGAGACACAATAATTTACACCTTAAAATATAATGCAGTCCAACGCAGCAACACCACACCGTGTAGCTTCATAAATTGAATCAGCACCTATCTGTCACAGTCAACAGAGATCATGGATGATACGGGAAAACCTCTCCAATGCAAATGATCATTTCACAACTAACGTGTGTTGACAGCAGAGCACTAATTTTACTGAGAATCCTGTTTCTCAGGTTCGGAAAATATCTCAGGATAAGAGCTTGTCACAATTTGTTTCTGAAAAAATGATTTAGTGAGCCATTTTCCCAGCAGTGTTAATGTTGTTAGTAACACCTGTGCTTCTCCTGCTACGATAAGTCAAAATGTCTGCTGTGGAAAGGCCCCAGTTCCAGCATATATACGTCTGACACAGCTGCACTCACACATTAGACATTTTGGGACATTTTGCTTTCTTGTTAGTAGTATCAATCTTCTTGTGTAACTCAAAATGTTGAACTGTTCCTTACAGTTGCCTGGTCAATCTCAAATTTAACATCTGTGACATTTCATCCTACCTCAGTGGAAACACCCCCAGCATACATTTCTCACCTTTTCCTGCCTTTTTTATCCTCAAATGCTCAATTAGACTTTGAACACCTATTTGTCATTATTTAACATAATGCTGGACTCAGCACCCTGTACACTAATAAATCTTCCCAACAAACATGTGATGATAGAAGCCAGCAGACATGCTGTGCCCCGCTGTTGTTGTGAGAAAGAATATTGAATTGTGTCTTTACAGTTTCCTGATTGTCATTTTTCAGTATGAATGAGGCCAGCGGATGGCAAATGAGGTTACCATGCCAACTAATGTCCCTGTATTGAACACTAGAAGATATAGATGTGTTATTGTACTCTAGTTAAGCACGTTGTTCTAATGGCTATACTGTTTATCCACTATTAGTGTGTGCTGGAGGATCGATATACAAACATCATACAGATCCTCTGTGTTTCTTTTTATTTGTGTTTCTCTACCTGCTCTGGTCTGTACTGCACTTTGGTCAACAAGGGTTGTTTTTAAATGCTTTAGAAATAAATTTGATTTGATTTGGTCAAACACATGATGAGAGTTCTAGAAATCCAAATGTAGTAATTGTTCAGTTTTATCATGCAGAAATACTAACTCAACAACCCCCTTATGGGCAGGCATGCTTTGTTGAGAGAGCAGGAAACATTAAAATAAATAGTAATTAGGAATTACAGACCTACAGTACTCATTTCTTTAAGATTTTTTCCTTCTGATGTGAAAACAGTGTTTTACCTTCAATCTTAACCTCCATGTATGTTATGATCAGTGATTAACAAATTGAGTTGAGATTTGCAAGGTAATAGGCTACTTCCATTCAGTGATGTAATTAGCAACAGGTATTTTATGTAAATTCAATTATTGTTATCACTCACATCAGAGAAAGATGCAAATTCTAACCAAAATGCGTTTAAGTTCAGAAGCATATAAAAGCACAAGTGCTCTGATGACTTGTACATTTGCTTACTTGATAAGTTTTTAAACACCCCCATTTTGATTTTTATTCTAAAGTGCATTTTGTGTTCTTGCCATATATTCCTCAGTTATGCCATATTTGGCTGTGTAAAGACAGTTTTACAATTAAATGATATTCATGTAAATAAACACACGCAGAGGGACTAAAATAGCTCAAAAACAGGCTGACGCTTGGCAAGAGGAACATGTAGATATGCACATCTGCAACGTCTGTAAACATGTACACACACACACATGCACAAATATAAACACAGCTATTACAGATAGCATTATTGAGGAATAGGATGCTACTGAATTCCCGGACCCAGCTGCATTTTAACAATAAGCTCATAAGCATGACAATAATATTCTAGTAGTAGTCTTTCCCTATTGAATCATCATAACACAATGGTGACAAAAGAGTTCAATTATGAATACACAAAGTCTGTATAGTGCTATAACGGTTTGCTTTTTTGAACTGTGAACATTCTGATTATCATTTTGGCAATGTCATCATGCTCTCATATGCTGTCAAGCTCTCCCTCTTAAGACTGTTCTCATCAGACCAGAATGAACCTGGCAGTGACGGTAATAAAGAGCTCCATCTGCGCCTGGCAGGCAGAGGCAAATGAACCAATTAAGGTCTGGTGAAGTCTCCTCTTTCACCTATTGGCAATGGCTGCCATCATCTCCATCATGATGAAAAGGAGAGAGTGCAAGGGTAATTAAATACCAGCAGGGGCCGGGGGGCAAACCTAATAACTCTCTGTAACAAGCCAATAAGGGACCTTATTGATTAACAGTTCACACAACCCAAAGCATGTTAATGGTGAAGAAAACCGCTTACTGCACACAAACTTTCAGATAGTTAATAGGTGTGCACGTTCCTCAGAGAAAATTGACCTTGTGGAGAGATATCTGCGATAGCTCAGAGACAAAGTACAAAAAGCCTCTTATGCCACCGTTTATCTGCCCCAGTGATCTCTTCTGCTCTAGTCAGAACTGGCTTACATGTGAATTCAAAAACACTTTGCTATGCTGGGTAAACATACCTGGCAGTAGTTTCTGTTGTAGCATTGCCATCTGCTGGCTAAAGTATGCTTGTGCAACAATTAAAATGGCCCCATTATTGTTATAAATGCCTATTCAGTAATTCAATTTTAGGCCAAACCAACTTGCAACACCCTGTATTTATTGAGTTTGTGCACCCCACCCTAGTGATGTCTCAACAGGCCCTGCTCCCGAATATGTTTGAGAACACCACTGGGTCAAATAAAAAAGCAAGAAGCCAACAAAAAAACAATTAACAAACACCTGTTTCTTTACAAGGATGCTGTAGGGAATCAGTAAAGCACTTAACTCTGCATAGAAATGTAAGAATACAATGGCATTATAATGAACATATAGTTATACAGCCAGTTAGGGATACCTCCTATTCTTGTGCCATGAAAGCTAAAAAGAGATCATTCATCGAACAATACGGACTGGAAATGAATGATATTCAGTAATGAACAACTGTGTGTGAAGTTCACAAACACCTGCTTGTACTAATAATAATAATAAACTCACTGCTTCCCACAAGGCGTCGGCTCACGTCACGTTCCTACGGCAACGCGTTGAAGCTTCCTCCAAGAGGATCATGGGAAACAATTCTGGCCGCTGTAGCGGAGGGAGTTTCGAAATATTTCACGATTAGCAACGGTATAACATGTTTTTATTGACAATTTCGTGACCAAAAGATGTTAACAGGTTTAATATTAGACTAGAACTAGTGTAGCGGAGGTGCTCAGGGGAACGTTAGGCTGTTTTTCGGGACGAATAAACGCTCCGCGCAGTAAGCACGGTTAGCTAGGTGGCTAACGCTACTGTAGTTATCCTTGGTGATGGTTTTTGTTCGTTCATACAACACGGTACTTTAACGTTGTCAGTAATTGTCACTTGATTCTTTAAAAGTATAATGTTTTCAGGGGATATTTAATAATATGTAGCTAGTCGGATTGTTTACATCGCAGCAAATACAATAGTCGCTTGGCAGCTAACCTATGCATTTATATCGTCTTGCCTTTCTAGTGGGATCCTGCGATCTCGATCAAGTCTTCCTGAGTGGATAGTCAAGAGGGAGAACCGATGCTGTCTTTTAAACATGGAGCTAAAGTTGGAGGTTGTTTTGTCATCCAGCATCAAACGGAAGAAACCATGGCCGCGGTTCTGTTGGCTTGGGAAGGTGAGGACAGTAAAGTGTTTTCAGCCAGTAACAATAAAGCTTGGCTGTCTTTATCTTAACATGACTGTGAACCTGTGTTGTGTTACAGGAGAAGGAGTCTGTGTTCCTGTTAGATGACAAACGGATCAGTGAGATCAACATGGTGTCTGGTCGCACCAAGAAGAGGACTCCTAAACTCCATCCTTTGCTCAACAGTGTGATGACAATGGCTTCATCTCACAATGGTGAGTTATTTGTAAACTCAAAGTGAAACCCTTGTCACCTGTCAGTCTGATAATACGTTTCTTTTGTTGTTTTTCAGGTATGTGGCTTTGTGGACTTTTGGTCTCAGGAGAGCTGTTTCTGTGGAACAGGGATAAAGACTTGTTGAAGACTGCTGCAGCAGTCCCAGAAGTAGTTCATATGATTACTGCCGTTCAAGGTATGCACAGTACATGTGTGTATACATTACTGTACGTTTCATACAAGCATTCTTCTTAAATTGCATGGTTACCAATAGGGCTGACATTAAAGTTCCAGTATGTAACATTTAGGATGATCTGTTGGCAGAAATGGAATATAATATTCATAGGTATG